CAGAAACCACTGACTGTATGTATGGTGTGATGTCGTCCTCTGTCCACTTCTCTCTGAGTGAGAAGAGGTGATTGAAGCGCTCCACTGTGTCCTCTGGGAGATCTTCCACTCTCAGCAGGCTGATGGTTTCTGGGCGGGAAGTTCGATCCACTAAAGCGACTCCCTGGAGGAATAATAAAATCAGCAATCACAGAAGTCAGGAAGTTCTCCTCGAACTCCTCTAATACAGCAATATGTGAGAGAAAAATAAAAAGTAAAGTTCACAACATGACAAATAAAACAGTATGTCTTCTAGAAAGGTTACCAGCAAAAAGCATCCTTTTTTTGTAAATTTACAACTAAATGAACCTCAACAATTCTTTGCACAAATGAGACCAAAGACCACAATCAGAGACCATTAAAGTTCAGGCTATATTCAATCACCTTTAGCTGCTCCAGTCTCGTGCTCATGCCCTCTGGCACACTCTGCTGCCAGACGTCCTGAAACTCCTTCAGGTTAAATTTGATGGCGTTCTGCAGCAGCATTAGCGCCAGGCCCCGACACACCTTATCCTCGTGCAACGCATAGAACACCTTGTCTGTGCAGACGAAATACAGCAGGAATAAAACCCAACATGATGGTGGAGGGATGAAATGAAATTAAATGCTTCAGTCTCTGCATTTCCACAAACTCCTTACCGTTTTCAGTGTAGCGTTTTCCATAGCAGTTCAAACAGTGCTCAATCATCTCCCTGCAAACAAAGACACCGTTATGACTCGTGTTTGGAGATTATAAACCTTACAGCACGCACTAAGACAGCTTTCACTAAAGAGAAAAATGTCAACAATCTTGACAACAACTTTAAAAATGTCAACAATCTTAGTTTCCTTACCGGGGCTCCAGAGGAGCCAGCTCCTCCAGACTGCTTTGAAGGGGGACCTTGTCGAAGGACCATGACTCAGAATCCACCAGCTGGGTCAGGTGACCCAGAAGCTTCATCTCATAGTCGAAGTCCAGAACACGCCAGTATCCTGAAAGACACATTCTAGGTATATAATTCCCAACAAAAGAATGTAAACACTCACACGCCTCACTGCAAACATTCCACATAAGACATCAGTGTTTACCATCTATCTGGCAGGCGTGGATGGTCTCCAAGTGGACCTTTAATTCCTCCTCACTGGCCTGTATACGATCCAATAGATCCTCCATTGTGTACTGTGTCAAAAGAAGAACGATTTACCGACAGCTGGAAAAACAGTTAGGATCTCCCCTTAGAGATATTTAATCAAAACCATAATTTCACCCTGTTCTCCTTGTTTTCCTCTTGCCCCCCTAAAGCAGGTCCTTCATAAGGATTCTCCATTAAAAGCCTCTTCAGCTTCTTCAGTTTGGGTCTCTGTTTCCTCAGCTCCCAGTAACTATTGCAGAAACCCCAGATCTGAGACAGAAGAATGAGAAGGACAGTAAGTAGCTGGGTATGGATATATTACTCAAATATTATTCTATTTTAGTAATTGAACAAAAAAACATATATAGGAATATCGCACAAGATTTCAGGTGTATATTTTGGTAGATGATGGTATCTGAACTATTATGATGGCTAAAAGTTGAGTAGAAGGAAAAAAGTGGGTAAAAAAGTGCAGGGAGAGCTACAATCTTTAGAAAGATCTATGTAATAAGTAGTTTCACTTTTGGAAACTAAATGAATGTGCTATTATTTCTATGTCTGTATGTGTAACAGAGAACCTGGATTATGTTGCTAAAACCTACTTGAGGTGATATTTTAAATACCTGAGCGTGCACCACGTGAGAGCCGTCCTGGCTGCTGGTTAGTTGGTCTGGTGTTTTGCAGCCGGGTACAAACAGCAGCAGGTTGGATGTGTCGGCTATTTTCAGGTCGTAGGTCTTGTTGCTGCTACAAAGCACGGCACGCTCATCTTTATCCCCTCGGATTACAAGACTAGGTACAAGAAAATATTGGTTTAGGTTGGTTTGATCACTTCTATGTATATTTGATGATCTTGTGTGTTTATATGTTTAACCAACATTTTTATGTGGAGGTTAGACAAAAACCAATGCTATGGTTAAAATATAAGAAAATACCTTTGTAGCAGAAATTAAATCAGAATCAGAAATAGAATAGAGAGTGCCTTTATTGTACCATAATGGGGAAATTGTGGTGTTGCAGCAGCAAAAGGTTATAGCAAAAGTGCTCACACAAAGTGTATAGAAATAACAGAATAAGTAAGAAAATAAACAAATAAGTACTGTACTGAACACTGTTTTACGATATAAATACTTTGTATATGGAAAGTAAATGATCAATAATCAGCTGTGCACATTTTTACAGTAATGGATGTGTGATGAATAGCAGCAACATCAGATGTGCAAAATGACAGCAGCATGTTATTTAACTGACTAAGACAGAAAATGAGCAAAAATCAGCATGAATGAAACAACTTATTAAGGAACAGTGATGGTTATAGAGTCTTACAGCTGCTGGGAGGAAGGATCTGTGATAACCTTTCCTGGTGCAAATAAATAATATGCAAATAAAGAGGAAAAAAGCATTACAAAAATATATGCATTGTTAAAAAAACAAAACAAAGGGATTATCCCTCATATAACACATCCAGGATCTGAATGATAGAAATACTATCATTTGTTCTGTACAAAGCTGAATGTGCAATGGAAATCAAATGTATTAATTAATGGAGGCCTGGATTTTGAGTCACACACAAAATTAAAGTGGGGAAACTTCCTGAAATTCTAAATAAAGCAGTTCAAAGCTTTGTTTACAAAGTTATTCCTAAGCAGCTCACCTTTCTCCAGCTTCTATGTGTTTGCACAGCGTCTCATCCAGCTCCATCAGGCAGTAATCTGCAGATGAAACGTTGTCTCCAAATGATAAACACTGGATAGTTGGGAGTAAATCCTCCTCCTTCAGTTTGGCGATCTCTAACGTGGCCTGTACCTCCTCTAAGGTCCTCATTTTCTCTTAGAGCTTAGTTGCAGCCTGGAAAAAACTAAGAAATTCACGGTTTTTGATGGAGTCTGTTAAAATTCCCCGCGCTCTCTTTCAGTCGCAGACAGGAAGTGAGATAATAAACACTACCGGGGTTATGGTTTGGTTTGACCGCCAGAGGGCGCTGATGCTTTTTGAACGAATAGCACACGCTTTAACTGGAACAAAAACATACATTCTTCTTCTTCTTGGACTTATTGGCGGTTTGCAACAAACATTTAGTAGCATTATGGCTTCCTCAAAATATCTAATAAATTAATATTTTCCTTAATACATTCAAACTCTCTCCTCATATGTCTTCTCTTGCTTTCATATTTATGACATTCCAGTATAACATATTTTATTGTTTCATATTTTACACAGTAATCACATTTGCCAGTAGTATGCTTTTGAATTTTGAAAAGTGTATAATTAAGTCCTGTATGCCCAAATTCTTACCTTGTTATCACTCTCTCCTCCTTTCTATTTCATCTTCCATTTCTTCTTTTTCCTACTATCTTCTGAATTTTATAAAACCATCTTCCTGTTTTTTCTTCATCCCACTTATTTTGCCATATTTCCACCAGTTTTTCTTTAATAATACTCTTTCCCTCCGATTTACTTGTTTTAACGGTAAAATTAATGGGATTTTGAATTGCTCTCTTTGCCATTTTATCTGCCCTCTCGTTTCCTTCTACCCCAATATGTGCTAGACCCACACAAATACAATCAAACCCCTATTTTTTTTATTGTGAATAATGTATGAAATACATCTACTATCTGATTGATTATATTTTAAACTTAATAATGCAGAGCTTGAATCTGAACAAATTACTGTTTTTAATGGTTTTATATCCAAAACATACATTTAATAAAACCTAACAAATTATGGAACAGTAGGATTTAAGAGAATTATTGTGCTGTATACTGGATAAAAGTCTTCCCAGGTTTCAACAAATAAAATGAAATTTCTGCAGCACAGTTCAACAGAAAACAAACAAATCTCACAAAGAAACAATAAATTAAGTGGCAAATTAACACGGTACATATGTGTGCACACCCTTAAACTAATGTTTGCCTTCATTCAGCTTTACTTTTCATTACAATGTAAATTCTCATCATTTTCTAGGCCTGCATGCCAAAAAGTATCCATATTGTTCAGTTTGTGATGGCATTATTTGCACACATCTCTTCTCAGATTACTAAACAGATTTTCTGATAGATTTAGATCTAGATTCCGTCCCCTAATTTTTTTTTAAGAAAAATAAAATATCTTTTTTTACTTCAACTTTCCTTCAGACACCTGGAATTTAGAATAGAAATGACTGGTGTGTAGAGCTTTTCATGGCTTTATTCAGGAAGGATCTATCCAGAGCAGGAGTCAACACCAGATTTGACCTTGAGTAATGTATGTACTTTAAGAGATGTGTAATATAGTTTTATCTGGTTAATAAGATTTTCTAAAATAAAAGAATAATAAACTCTAAACATTTTTGACAGGGAGTTTTAACTAAGAGCTTACATGTGTCTTAAAAGGTGTTTTTTTGATTTTTTTCTCCTTCCACAAATTTGTAACTAACTTTGTAATTAACTGAAACTATACACAATAAATTAGCTGTGTGTTATTTTAGGTCAGTTATTACATTTATTTATTTATTCATAAATGTTTTTAATTAATTCATTCATTTCGTCTGTCTCTCTATCTATTGCCTTATTTGATTTCAGCAGGGGTGTATACACTTTTTAAAACCTTGACAATTTGAGAATCATAATAAATAAAACATTTTAGATAGCTTGCTTTTCTCCTAATTTTTACAATGATAAAACTACGTAATTGCACCCCCCCTTTTTTTTTGCTTTAAACATTGTGAGGCTCAGATAAATATTGTGTTGTAGCAGGAACCAATGCATACGGGAAACGTTTTTATCCGTCACAATTTGTTAGACGGACTGCGTCTCACATTGCACTGGCAGGTCAAATGTTTTGAGGATGCGTGCATAGCATCGTAAGAAATGTCAAGTTTTTCCAGATCGGCTCAGGTAATTCATCCTAAGCATTAGCGCTGTGTTTATTAAAATCTTGTTTGAAGGTCTTGTAGGTAGAATGAAGGGGTTCAGCTGAGCGGTGCTAAAGAAAAAGGCACAGAGCTAGCAGATGCTAACAAACCAACACTGGCTTTTTTGTTGGTGACATAAGTGAAATCACGCCTCTATTAGATAAAACGCTTTTAATTTAATGTTACTGCTGAGCTGTTTTCCAGCGAGTATGAAAATACTTAAAAAAAAATCTTTCTAGAGTGTTTCACTGTTTATATACTAAGAAGTAAAAACGAAACGTCTAACTGCAGATATCAACTAAATGAGGGTTTATAAGGAGGGTCCATTATATTTGTGTTTTTACTTGTTGGAAACTACTAAACAAGTAAATAATGGTTTTAAAAATAAAATGGAAACATTGCTTATTATAAACTAAATGCTGAGAAGTGTATAAACCAACATGGCGAAAAAGAAGATAAAATCTAAAATATTGTATCTGTTTCATTTCTGCCTGGTTAGTTTAAGAGTTAAGTGTAATAAGAAAAAATATTGCTATTGAAGTTAGTCTGAAAGTTATCATAGCAGGAACATTGTGGCCACTTTCAGGAAACTGTATAAACCTAGACGAATAGGATTAACTAAGAATATTGGGTTTAAAGTAAAATAATCTGAAAATAAATCCAGAATATAGTAGATGGACCCATTTAAAAGTTCTGCAGTGTGTTGTCTGTGTTTTCTTACTTGTTGCAGAAATTGATTCAATCCACATTGTCTTAATTTTTTTGTATTTATTGCCTTAAAGGGTGTTTATAACAAAGGTCATTGTCTAAATCAGGCCTCAACCTGGTCCTTGAGGTCTGGTGTCCTGCATCTGTTAGGCGTGTCTCCCAGTCAAATAATCTGGTCATTCGAAGAACTCTGGAGAACTGGACTTCATTCCAAGGAAGCAATTTAGCAATTTGATTCAGGTGTGGAACAAGGGACACATCTAATTATGCAGGACACCAGAACTCAAGGACTTGAAAAGAGGAAACCTGGTCTTCAGTTTTGTCCAGTTCTTCTGTCTTCATTTTGGCCTCTTGCTCCTCCACAGCAATGGGCCACCTTCGCCCGTTCGTGGTTCCTCATCGATGCCAGGATGCAGCCGCCCGGCAAGATCGCGACCATGTGTTCAGTCAGACTGCAGGGGAAACACAAGCCGATCTATCATGCTCTCAGTGAGTAAGAGCTCTGTTAGGGGAATCTTACATAGGCTGCATCTGCAAAGCTAAAAAAAACTCTCACAATATTTACACTGTTTGATTTTCCTCTGTGAAATACAAAAAAATCCAACCAAATTTATTTGTTTGAAGAAGCCACAAGGTGGCAGCAGTGGATCAATTTTCAAAAATAGCTTTGCTCTCTGTACCTCAACTGATTTTATTGATCTGTATGTAATGTATAATTCATTGTAGACCAGGAAGTGTTTTCTTTATGATGGAAACCTTGTATGTCTAAAACCATTCTTTTATTGTACATTTTTCTATTTTGCTCTATTTGCTGTTTTGATGTGTTTCTGTTGTTTTGCTATTTTTTCTGTTTTTCTTTTTTTCTTTTTTTCGTGCATTCGGTCATAAAGTTTATTTGAATTCTATAAATCAAGGTTTTCTGCTCAACAGCAATGATGAACTGCACGGCAGCATTCTATACCAAGCTATTGTAGTATCTAGGCTAGAGCTGTCAGTCTGGTAAAGAATCTGGTCGTTATTTGAAATTGTAAAGGCTAACTTTTTTTTGTGCAGCATAAATTAGACTAAAACCAACCAAAACCATCACATATTGTAATGACTAAATTGTGACTAATAATAATAATAATAATAATAGTTTTTGTCCTGAATTCTAAGATTAAATCTAAGATGGCTGTCTAAAACAGCACTTTGGATGGCTAAATAACTCTTGCAATCTATTTTATAAAAAAAAGGCAAAATTAATTTCCAAAAATAGAACTAGTTTTAGTGTAAAATCGATCCCATTTAAAGCTTTGGTCACAGAAGCATCTGCTTATATCAGTCTCGGTGAGTTTGAATATTTAGTTTTGAACCAGCTGACAATAATCAGCCAGAGAAACAAACCAACAAACTCTGTGAACTGTTTACAGGTGACTGTGGGGATCATGTAGTGGTAATAAACAGCAAACACATTGCTTTCTCTGGGAACAAATGGGAGCAGAAAGTCTACTCGTCACACACTGGGTGAGTTATTCTTATCCTTCTCTCTTTTGTTTCCTGTTTTTCTTTTTATGCTTGTACTCTTATTTTGTTCTTCCTCTTTATTCCATGACCTTTATTTTAATCATCTTGCTGTTTTTAATTTTCTACTTCAATTTCATCTGTGTAAACAAACCTTTTTGAACTTGAACACGTAGTTTTTTTATGATTTAGAGTTCTTTTTTCCGGGTGGATCACCTAATAAGTGGTCCTTCTAATTGTCAATTATTCCGGTGATATGTTTACATAAGGCCGTCCTACGTGCTCATCCCCATCTTCACTTAACGGTGGTTAGTCTGACATAGTGGAAAAATTGCAAATCCTCTTTTGAAAAGTAAGCTTGTATGATCGATGCAAACAGCAACTTTTAAAACGGAGCGAGCACGAGGAGAAATGGGCTGATGCACGCTCTCACACGCGTTTAATAGCCATTCCCTTTTGGGAGCGGGTACAAGGTTGTGCATCTGCATTTTTTTAAGGTGGAGAGGGCGGGTCTTTTCAAAAATTCGCAAATATCCTCCACAATACCTTTTAAACAGATTAATTATCATAGAAATGTTCAGACTTTTCACTGAACTCCACAGCATGACTGTTTATAATTTGTTTAATTTTCTTGGTTTATGGCGTTTTGAAAATGTACACAGATTAATTATGAAATGTTTGCTGCAATGATTTCTTGAAATATAAATGTAACGGATGAGAAAGTTGCTGTTAAAAGTTGTTTCTATAGTATTTAATGTTTTTCTCTTGGAGAATACAGCACCACTCAAACTGTTTTGTTTGATTTATTTATTTCTTTTGTAATGCACTGTTAGACCTCAGTTCATGTTTAATATAACTCATCCAATATGGTGAATGGGCCTATTGGAGAAACAACTTCTACTTCCTTTTTTAACAATTTTGTGCACAACAAAATAAAAGTAGGGGACTGTCAACATGTAGCACACAGCCCACAGTTATTTGCCGTCTTCAGCTTTCCATAAACGGGAAACACATTCTGCAGGATTTATAGAGCATGTTGAAGAGCAGTTGATTTACACATTTCAAGAAAGTCTTTGAAGATAATACTGAAAACATGGTGCTGAGCTTTTATGGTGGTAACAGCAGCGGTGGCAACGGCCCTAGTGGTGGATTAACATACAATTCCTATACAAACAGCACGATGAAACGGCCAGCGGTGCTAGTAGATAGAAATGAGATGTTGTCAAACGGCAGCACAACATGTAGAGAGAGGAGCGGTGATCACTGAAGTTAAAACTATCTGAACTTTTCTATGAAATCGTGACACGTCAGCCTATCAGAGACTGTTTGTAGGTAAAGCTTTATTCACTTTTGAATACAGAGAAAATATTGTTAAAAAGAAGGGAGAAATAAGGAATGCTGTCATGAGGTCTTTAGGTGGCTTAAAAAAGCTGTTTTAATTCCTAGAAGGACTAGGGAAGCAAACTAAAGAACTAAACTTCTTCTAACTTTGTACTTATGCGAACTTCTAAAGAGCGATTAGTTGCATAGATCTTTATTTGGGGGGTAAAAGGTCAAGAAACACTTGATATTTGTGCATGCAAACGTCAGAAAACTGCCTCATATCCTTCCATCTCATAATTACTGACCACTTTATGTTGGTATATCACAAACAATACCATTAAAGTAAATAGAAGTTGTTTTTATTTAAGGCTCTTTAAAAATTTTCAGCTGCGTGTGTTAAAGCTGACGGATTTGTCATCTTTTCAAAGGTATCCGGGAGGATTCAAGCAAGTCACAGCTGCTCAGCTTCATCACAAGGACCCAAAAGCTGTAAGCTGCGCCTCTAACTTCTAATGCTTGTCTGATGCGGATTGAATTCTAGGCAATCAGAAATGTCAGCATAGGATACCTTGCACCACCTTCTTTTTCCTATTCGGCTTTGCAGATTTAAGCCTCACACATAGATTAGTACAATATCAACATGTGGCGGACGCTAAGCTGAGGTGGCATTCTCTGATCTGACACTCAGCCCTTTTTTCAGTCTGGCTGCTCTTGCATATTATTAAGCATTGCAGGGGGGGATGGGATTAGATGGTAGTGGATTTATAATGGAGACTTTTGGTATTTTCTGAAACTCAGTAATTTTAGAGGCTAATACTGGAGATGCAGGTTCTTCTGCATAATCATGATTCCAGGATTATGCTCAGAGTTGTTAAACAACACCTCACAATTGGTCTTACGTTAATAAACGTACAAAGTATATTCAGCACACCATTAGGAACTTCTACCTCCCCTTGTTCTACACATGGGAACTATAATTTGAAATGTTCTGTTCTTGAAACTTTTCCCCATTAGGGGTTGAAATATTACAAACCAGCCTTAGATGAATCTAGAGTCTGGTATTCAGAGGGACTTATGAGCTGTCAGGAATATGATTCCTGACAGCTCATTTAGCAGTAAATTAGGTCAATGTTGGAGCAAAAGGAGGAAACGGGTTTTTTTCCCCCTTTATCTATTTGACTTTATGCTTTAAGGCTCATGAAGCCACGGCGGTAAAGATGCTGTGAATGTTCATGGAATTTTCTTTAGTTTTCTTGTGTCCATTAGAGCTGAGCAATATATTGAATATCACTATTGGGATCTATTAATAAAAAACTTGCTTGGATGCAACATTTTGAAGGGCTTAATATTCTCATTGTACAGTATATTTGGCCAAATGATTGAGTTTTATTTCCACACCTAATCCAGAGCTTAGTGACTGAGTCGCCATGACAATAGAAAAGGGGGGAGGAGGGTAGGATATGTGGGTTAATCACGTTTGTATCCCATCGCTATAATCAGCCGTATCCCTGTTGCTTCGCTAAACGTGGGCAGCTCCACCGCGCTCTGCATGGCACATAGCGGGCTGGTACGTTTGAACTTAGTTCTGTAAGAAAGATAAATCCTGCTGTGATGAAACGTTTGCCCATCACTCTAAGATTAAAGATTCTACATGAATAATCTCAGATTTTCATTCAGTATATTGTCTTAAAGAGCTGAGCATCAAACCTGTCTATACCTTGAAACGCCGACTACATTTTATTGCTGCTGTTTAGTTTTATGAAATAAACAATAATTCTCAAAAAGGTTATTAGAGTGTTAGAATAATAATCAACCTTTTAAAAGAAGTGGGAATGCTGGACCTAATTTACTAGAACTATTCCCAAAAAATGTTGCTCAGATTAATCTGAGCCGCTTCTCTAAACGTTGCTCCTCGTCCTAATTTGATACCAGCCCCCCCACCCAGCTGCAGCATCAGCCCCTCAGTGAGATCTACTGCTAGCTTCCCCACATGTAGCTAGTGTAAGCAAATAAGAAACTCATAAAAATTGCTCCTGTCCAGCGGGACACATTGGGATCAGGTGAACGACCTGTTCCGTCCTCCGGTCTGTAGTTGACGGCCTCAGAGGAGGCAGTGAGTCGACTGCTGGCTCTGCTGCTGCTGCAGGTTTCAGGCGGGGAGTCCTACCGGTGATTTAGCTGCAGTGAAATTTGGAGCGAAGTGGGAGACATGGAGGAGGAAAGGAGAAGAGCTTGTCAGCACTGTCCAATATCTCTTCCCAGAATCCGTCCTGTGACTTTTTAGAGGCCAAGAAAGGAAGAACACAGACATGTTGATCTGAAGGAGAAATTTTGTAGAGTTGCCGTCTATTTCATGGTTTGGATTTTTTTTCTCTTCCCTTTGCAGATTGTGCGGTTAGCAGTTTATGGGATGCTTCCTCGAAATTTGCAGCGACGCACAATGATGCAACGATTGCACATCTTCCCAGAGGATGTAAGTGGACAACACAGACACTGGGAGGTTATTCTAAGATATACGACTATTTACAGAAACCCCTCTTTTAACCAATAGTTCATTTAAAACATGCAAACATGATGGTTGCCTTTAGTTTCTTCAATTTCAACCTCTACTTCTAAATATTTTCACAACCTCCATTTTAGTTTCACAGCCAGCATCTTCAGGTAAACTGAATGGATCACCTGAAGCAGGCATTTTAAAGCTCTTATAGGTTTGTTCTCATTATACCTTCTGCAAAAATCTCTTAGCAGTCTGATCAGAATCAAAAGTGAGCAGAAAATTAGTTGTGCTCTGCTGAGCTAAGCTGGGATGTAGCTAAAGAGACTAATTACATCCCTCTGGGGGTTGTGTGAACCAGAATAGAGCTGCAAGCAAGTTAACTGCTATTCTGGGCAGTAGGAGCTACATGCAGGTTTCAATGTCTGGATTTTTTTTTTTTACTCTGCAAGAGCATGGAAAATAAAAAATTAGGTTGGAGGATAAATATTTTCAAATACAAATTTGTTCTCTATACTATTAACAGTTGTATGCACGCATGCATGCAGTGTGTTTCCATACTGAGTAAAACATGCAGCTGCGAGTCCTTCAGAAAACACTGTAATCAGTTTAGTATTGAGTTGGTGAGAAGAGGTGGATTTAAAGAGGCTGCTGAATTTCTGGGTCCTTCAAACGGTTTAACTGATCTGTGTTTTTATTCATTGAAATAATGTTTATCAGAAAAGCAAAATCCTGTTATTTCCAAAAATGTGACAGCAGAACATTGAATGTGGGTTTTGCATGAATATTGCAGGAAATGAGAGAATTTAGCAGCCAAATTTATGTTGTTTGTTTTTTTTTATTTCTATACCTTTTTTTTTTTTTTGGGAGTTTGGAGTTTTTTGATCACTGCTTTTGAATTCTAGTCTGGGCTCTTTCCTGCTCCTTAAATGAACTGCAGCCATACCCGTCTGCAGTGAATAACAATGAGACGTTTACACTAGAGACACTAGAGACTAATGCTGTCTTTAGGTGTTGTGTAGAATATCTGATTTGCTTCTGTGGTTGAATTGATTGCCCTTTTCTTCCCTTCTTCTGGATGTTTCCTCCTCTGGGTTTTATAGCCTAAAACTTTGTCCCTCTCCTGTGTAGGAGTTGCCAGATGACATTCGGGCCAATCTGACAGAGGAGCTTCCTCAGCCCAGAGAAATTCCCAGGAAGCTCAGCGAGTACACCCAGGAGGAGATGGACGCCTTCCCCAGGCTGTGGATCCCGTATGTAGACGCCAGCAGTCATTCCATGCTTTTTAAAACTTTGCTCACTTAACAGTCAGGGATTTATTCTTGTCCTCCAAAGAACAGCAGCAGTGATCAAATGAACTTTGAAATAACCTGCGTCCCACTTAACAGTTGAATATAGGCGTGAACTTTGACTAGGCCTCTCTCACTTATAAAATATGCTTTTTACATGAACCATGCTGTTTAGGGCATGGATCTTTCTAGGTTGTTGTCTTTCTGAAATATTGAACTCACTTGACCTCAGTTTCAAGATTTGGCAGCTTTTAATTGTCTTTTCCTCAATTGTTACCCTTCATTTCCCACTAATGCAAGACTTTTTTTGTCTTATTAAATCCCAGGAAGTAAAATGTGCTCTAATTTGGATATAATTATGACCCCAAATTAAACAGAAATTTCCTGCTGGTAGATATTATTAATCGGAGTCATGACCGATTTATTTTGGACCAAGTAGAATATAGTAAATGACTTTAAATAGTTTTGAACACACAGGAAAGAGATGTCACTGTGGAGTAGGGCTGAAATAATCTATTGCTCTGATTGGAATAATCTATTATTGAAATAACAGGTTTAGCAAAGAATCGTTTAACTTTGGCTCTAAATTTGCTCACATTAGTTTGAAACAAAATTTTAGCCAAAACCGCAAAATGAAAACAACGTTAAGAGACACTATTACCATGTAGATTTTACCAGTATTACCATCAGATTACTTTCTAATGGGCAGAATCTGGGCAAAAGTATGATGGATGCAGGGCTTGTTCCACAGTAGACGCCATCAGCAACCAAACAAAAAGGAAAAAAAAGGGAAAAGGAATATTTCTGGAAGGCCTTATAGATTTTATGCATGCGTAGTATCAGGAGACTGGGACTTTCTCAGAGTTATTCTGCTCAGAGCTGTGCACCCCTGAACGGTCCAGGTGCTCTCACACATCCAGCTGTCTGCTGTTTTTGTCCTCCTAAGCAACGAATGCCTAAACAGATTCGTGTCAGGAAGCGTGCCAGCCACTGTCTTGTGGCCGGTTTGACTTGGATAGCGCTGCTCGCCAGCAGGATAACTGTTATATGCTGTTTTTGTATTTTAACCACAAACACATGTGGGTTGAGGAGTTGTCAGATGTGACGGGACATGCATAGAAAATAATGACTGACCATGGACTGCTGATGGCTTTATTTATAGGGATCCTGTTGTCCTCTGTGGCATAGCAATAAGCCTTTGTTTATGATGGTGTAGGTGCCCTTTGGGATTTCCAAAGCAGCTTCAAACTGAATGAAAGCTGATGCACAACAGCAGCTTGCTCAAAGAAGGGGAGTCTTCTCTGCAGCTTGGAAGCAGATATAATCAAATGTCACAAACACACACAGAAAATTTGGCTCTTCTCCCCTTCAGTCCCAACCGGGTTGGTTTACGGTTTGTGTGTCTAAGAGAGTCAGAACATCTGTTGCTCAGCATAATCATATTCATGGCTTTTCTGGCTCAAGTATTTTCAGGTTGGAGATGAGACTGACACTGCGACCTACGGCTGGCATCATAATGTCATGCTGTTGCCCCCCCAAACCCCCTGCATCTCCGTTCTAACGAGTTAGCAGAGAGGCCTCTCTGTTCGACCAGCCCACATGCAGACGTTACATTCATTAATCTGCTAATCCATCAATTTATCCGTCCTCCTGATGCTCATCCAGGTCAGGGTTCCTGCTCAGTTGCTTAGCACCCACATATTACATGAAAATCTAGACACTCTAGACGCAGGTGTTCTAAATAAATCATTTATAGGATGAATAAGTTGGATGACTTCATGTTATAGATGTGGAATAAGAATTGTAGCTACGGTAAAAGATGGGTCCTCTACCTTTTAGTGAATGATCATTAGTTAAATTAAAATGACCAGATTTTGCTTTGTTGCATGTAAATACCCATCTAATGCCCAACATATGGGGTATTTCTCCCTTCCTGGATTTATCTGTGTTTTCAGACACCTGTCTCTGGTATCCCAGTGAAGCAGACACAAATTGCGCCATCCTCAGGGGGCTTTCTGTTGGTTAGAATCAATTATTCTGATATCAACAGAGACATGAAGTACTGTACTGATCCCCTGCAGCTTTCAGCCTTGAACCGCAGTTTTCCAACCAATGAGATGTGATAATATAACCCTGGTTCACGTGGAGCAAAAGTCACATCTACCAATTCACTGCTGCTCTTTTTTATTTTTATTTTTTTTTTTAAATCAATTTTCTAGAGCAATCAATGTCTGCTGTGTGAAGATCAATGGAACACTTTTATTCAGATTTGGAAAAAAGGCAACTTTTACTATGAAAGGATGTAAATGTTCCAGAGCTTTTCCCCATTTTGTCACTTGTTATTACTGTTTTACACAGTTTATTTTATTTTTACTCCCTGCTGTTCAGAGGTTTGTTGGTTTGTTGGAGAACAAAGAGTTTTACAAAAAGGGCACAACTCTCAGCTTGGTTTTCTTTCGCTGACGTTTAAACTGAAAGAGCTTGAAAAGTTTATTTTTCCCTTCAGCTCATTTTGTTGGTCCATACCCCCCCACCCTAAAAATAACAAAAAATAAAAATATATACGTTGTATCAAAGCACAATGAAATGGTCAGTTTTGCAGCACTAATTTGTCAGTATTTGAAAATAAGCTGCCTATACATGTAGCTCAAAGATTTACTGTTATATTTAATCCAAAATTACTAAATTAAGTAAATTCATATCCATTTAGTTTATGTTTTGTCAGCATAATACTAATAATCAGAAAACAAACCCTTCCTTGCTGTCAGAGTGCGCGTTCAGTGTGATGAATGTGCCCTCGTTTCATTGGTTATTGTCTGTGCGTCGTCATCCTGCCGGCTCATGCGTTAGTTTCAGGTCGACCTGCGTGCCGCTGTCAAGGTCAAAGCAATCCTGGTTTATTTAGAGATATATCTCAGCCTAGTTAAAATTCACTCATACTCTGACTTAATCATATTACCCATCTGATGTGTGTGTGGGTGAGCGTGCGCACCAGCATGAGGGGCAACAGGCTTCAGGTCACAGAGGGCGATTCAGTCATTACCCTTCATATTCAACACTTAGTTAATATTCACTCTGAAAAATACTGAGGCAGAGGCGAGATGATTAGATGAGCCACCCCCTCTGTAAAACAAACGCACACCAGCAAGCACCCAGAGTCAAGATAAACATACTGCTGTGCTTGATAGCAGAGTTATTACAGCTTTCCCACTTTGTAACACAACCCATACAGCATCCTCCGATAACATCCGTCAGCTGCAATCTCTTAAAATTAAAGGGGAAGACGCGAAAGCAGGATGCTGCCTCTGAACTCATTTTGAAAGGAAAGAAGGAAAACTTGATAAAATCTGCCCAGTTTCTCATTTGTCACTTTTCTGTCGGTGTATTTCCTCCAACTTGCTTCTTAAACTAATGTGCTGCTTCTTTTTTTTCTCTTTTTTCTCTTTGCAGACCTGAAGACTACAAGATGAAATGAAATCAAAGTTCCCTGAAGCAACTAAAGCTGGATTTATTTAATATTAAACATAGAAAGCAGCAGGCTTTAACCATTAAATTGTTTTCATAAAAAAATCTGACTTCACCCTGTTGTGTAAATTTACAGAAAAGCTTTCTTTCTTTTCCAAAAACTTGCATCAAAGTCTGCCTGGACTCCCACCAATAAGCCGCATCTTCCATGCCAGCAGTAACAACCCGGCCCCCGTCGCTCTGTTTCTGTAGGGCCGCTCACAAAAGCTCCACCAGAGCGGTATTAGCCATGACGGAACCACAGCAGAGACGATTTATCCAGGAGCAGCTTGAGATTTCTCTGCGCCGCGTGGATCCGATCAGAGAAAATCCAATTCTGTGGGATCTGCTCTGACTATGCTGCCATGAATCGATCAGGCCTGAAACGTGACTCTGTTAGAGCAAGGTTTTGCTTTCTGGAGGTTTCACACCAAAAACTATTATCTTGTTACAGTAACGAGATCAACATGCTACAAAATGTTTTTCTGCTGTCTGAGTGCTGTTCAAGTGAACTGTAAAAAGAGACCAATAAACCATTTGTTCTTAAAAACAAAGTGTTTTTATAAATGCTGTAAAATATTTTTTATTGAACCAGGCTCTTGTAAAAGGTTATTTACTTAGACTTAAAATAGTTTTGTGGTTTTAAATAAAACAAAACAAAGTATACATTCAGTTGTAACTAAGGGTGTAACAGTGTATTTGTAAAGTAAAAAGTATTCACACCCCTTTAGGTTTTGCTCGTTAGTCTCAACCTTCAGTGAATATAATGTTGGAACTTTATAAAAGTTCCCCACAAGAGCAAACAATGCTTAATTTTATTGTTTTATGTTAACAAATCAGAGTGATGCGCGTTAGTATTCACCTCCGAGACCATAGTAGGTACACTGCAAACAATTGAAATCTAAATAAGTAATTTTTTCCATAAATAGGTTTTTTTTTTTTTTTTTAAGGAGGTGAGACATTTTGCCAATGGAGCAAGACAATTTACAATTGAAATAATAAACAGTTGCATTGTCATATTTCAAGTGCATAATATCTAATTATCTTATTTTAGGAGTAAAAATACTCATTCAATTGGCAAATCATCTTATTTACCAACTTAAATTAAGGGTAAATACAATTAATAAAAGACTTTTACTTATTTCTTGATTGTTTTTGCAGTGTAGAACCACCTTCTGATAAAATCTTTTTTCTTTCATAGCCTTGAACCAGTTTGAATAGAGAACATCAGTGAGCATCAGTCTTTAATCATGCATCAGATTCATAATGAGAGAAAGGATTGCTTTGTGATTCTTTGATTCTGATGTGTAGTGATTTGCCCCACATATCTGTCACAAAAGTCTACAATGTTTATATATATATATATATATATATATATATATATATATATATATATATATATATATATATATATATATATATAATGATTAGAGCACCTTCTTAGTTTTTTAAGTGTCCTCCTGTGAGGGCAAACTGGATTTTATTTTAGGGGTTGAACATAAGCATCTCTTACATTTTGAGATCTTTTTTGTAAAAAAAACAAATGTTGCATAAAATCCAAATAATTGGACACTGAGGTTTGTGGCCGCGAGGTGGTAAAATTTGAGCATATTTCCAACTTCATTATTTATGTGAATGTTAACATGCCTCTTATTTAATTTCTGCAAAAGGTCTAAAGTTAAATCCATACTTGCAGCTAAAATAGTGAGTGGGCTTAAATTTGCATAAAGAAATGCAAGATACAGTCGTTTTTTTTGTTTAATTTTAGTATGAAAACGTCGTTCATTTTGAGACAACAGAATGAATTATCCAGGACAAAATGTTACAGCCTTCAGTTTTTTAAATAAAAAAAAAAAACAAGGTTCAGAAATGATACAGGATGCTCAAAGTAGAAAACGCTTTGCACGCAGAGGCAAGTTCAACAAACTGCAGTCCAGAGGACGGGTACAGGGGTAGTATGGTGCATTATAAAAAGCAGTCTGTACAAATGATGCCACTTTTGTTGTCCTCTGTTTTTTGCTTCTTTTTTTAAAAAAAAAAAGGAAATTTTCAGGCTACAGAAACGAGACGCATGTGTCCACTTACACACTCGGTGGTCGGCTGACAGGAGACATGCAGCTTCACTGAGCTGTAAGATGGAAAAGCACAGCTTTAAAGGTTTGTAGTATCACTGGACGAAGCGGACACAGATCAGGCACTTTTCGGACCTCCCTTTAACACACATATACAGGTATCAGAGATATTTACATTATTTTTTTTTTTACTTGGAGGAATCCCACTACAGAGCAGAGGTTCCTCACCACAATTTCAGATGAGTGCACAAGTTCATGGTGTCTAGGTTTTGTCTTTAGGGGCTCAAGCACTTATGGTGAGTCCGCTCTTCCTCTTACTTTGTCCTCCATGACCACGGTTTGTGAAAACCTGACGACACCCGGGGACCTCAGCTCCACATCCTCAGAGTTTCCTGGGTAGTAGCCACTCTGCCTGTAGATAAACTGAGAAGGCTGCTGTGGGTAGTACTGGGAGTGGTAGCCATCATAGTAGGCCTCCTCTTCCTCGCCTCCTCCTTGGTCGTCGTCGTCATACGGCTGTCTGTGGGGGGGACTGTAGGGCTGGTAGCTGCCCTCGCCATGGGGGAGGGGCTGGACTGGAGCGGTGCGGAGGGGATATTTAGGGTCAGCACTGGAGTGAGGCTCAAAGAAACTAAAACTAAATGCCACAACCAAATAGAGTGTTAAAGTAAAAGATTCAGCAGGAAGGTGAGGCATGCAGACAGATATGCAGGGTCGCATGATGCACTAATTTAAGTTCGGAGTGGTTAAAGCTTAGAGGTGTTAATTTTCTCACTTTTTAAATAGGCAACATTACTCTAGGGGTAAAATATAGATTTTTAGCACATCTCAGAATCTGATTCGCACAGGTGAGGCAGGCTGCTCAGTAGTGAAAGCAGACAATCAGAAAGGAGCACTATTCATCACTATTTCGCTGATTGATCGGCCTTTGAAAGAAGTGATTAGATCTAATGAGATTTGAGTCCAAAGCAAGCGATTGCAGAGGAAAATGAGTATTTGTTGATAAATGACAGAGCAGCCATTAGTGGGAGCATTGTGAATGTGTTTTTTTTAGCTGGTTTATGAGTTTTTTTTGTATTCAATGTTCTGATAGTAAATCTGATTTTCTAACAAATGAAGACTGAGCATTGCTTTAGAAATCTGGCACTTAAACCACATAGGGCAGAACTTTGTAAAACACTCATACATGGAAGCTTTCTTTTTTTAAATGGCACATTTTCTTTTTTCTACACAAAAAATAGGCATATGTTTTAAGACTGATGTAGAACCTCAAAAGAGCAGGAATTAAGAAATCCCTTAAAGATTATAAATGCTTGGGTTTTGTGAGCTTCTACTGTTTGGCGTCTTGGGGAAAGACTGGATGTTGTTGAACGAGGGAAAAAGGAGGTGAACCCAGCAGGGGGAGAATAAGGAGAGATGGCGGGCGATTTCTCCTCAGTAATCATTCCTGTAATCCTGTTGAACTTTAAATCAGAAGAAGGGAGAAAAAGGGAAAGGGAGGAGGAGAACAGGAGAGAAGATGTTACATGAGGAAGAAAAACCCAAAGACACCAAAGATCTTCAGACAAAGAAAACTTCTCAAACTTCTGGGAAAGGATTTAAGAATGAGAAAAAAATCCCACAACCATCTGCTCTTAAACAGAAAGGGACCATACAACATTAAAAACTCATTCAATAATTCCAGAAAAAGGACATTCAATGTGTCATGTCTTTTACTTATTGGAGAGCACAAATAAAAACCTCTGATGCTGAAAAATAAAATCAGGGAAACGCGTTATAATTCTGAAGACATTTGTTAATTCTAAACACCTCTATTGTTTAATCCTTCGTTTTAGTTTAGGAAACAAGCAAAAGCTTAAAACCTTATGCTTTCTCTAACTGGTCAGATGTTAACCCTAACCCTATACTGAATAAATCTGAGAAAGTCTTTGTTATTATATTTTAAAATAAATTTAGATACCGGACAACACTAGACAAACACCCATGATGGTGTCAGCACTTTATATGAGGTTTATTTTTCATTAGGCTGAAAGAAAAATGATTTTTTTTTTCAGGATAAATCTGTAAAATGCTCTTGTTATTCTTAGCACCATGTTATTAACCCAGGCTTACATAGAGTATGGGCACATGGTCCCAAACATATCTTAGAACCTCTTGGCTGCAGGCTTAAACTTAAAGTCTGCAGGAAAAGCTACGCTATAATCTTGGCTGAGAAGTGGGTGTGTTTTGACTGAGCTTTGTTGGGCAGAGATCAGATAGACAACTCTTACTATTTTTTTTTTAAAGATTTTCTTTTATAATCAGTCTATTTCTGGGCCTCCAAATTAAGGTATATTTTGGCAATGACTAATAACTGATTTATTTTACAATCGATTAAAATAATTTCTTTATCACAATGTGTTTTACTGCTGTACATATGGATTTTGCTTTTATTTTCTCCTATTCAATGTTTCTTTCCTTATTTCTAAATCATGTCTTCCGAAGCAATTAGATGCTGAAGTTTTGAAATACAATATTAATTAAATAAAAAATAACACATACCAACAAAATAATCTTATGTAAACTTCTGAATTTAGAAGTAACTAGCTGGCAGAGGGTCAGTTTCATGAAGCATGTTCAACAAATTCAGATTCAAATCTGCAACTCTAAATTGATCTGGCCGAAAGTCGAGAACTCAGAGTTTTCGGTTTCCCAACGGCTGCTGTCAATTAGTTTTATAAATTTTAACTAGATCTACTCAGAGTTAAGGGCGTGCGCAACAAGTATGAAAAACCATTATCAGTGGAGCACGGCGAGTTCACCATGACAACAGGGAACAGGAAGTGCCTATTTCACCTCACTGGAACTAGAGATTTGAATACAGAAATACAAAAAATAAAAATAAAAAAGGAGAATGTGTTTAAAAAAAAAAGAGAAACAGTGCCACAGCTACAAAGGAGAGGAAAATGGTGAAGGAGATGATTGTTGCTCGATTTAATGCGTAATTATATGAGAAGTGGGCTATGGCAGGCCGTTTTTACATTTATTAATAGCACTCCTCTCTGTTGTTCCATTTGTAGATCACTAAAATAAGTCTTCATGATCAAAATCACACTCCTAGACCTAACTGTAATAATATATTTTCTAAATTACATTTTTGAAGCAGAAAACTGAATTTTAGAAAGTAAAAAACAAACTTATACTAGTAAGAATTGAGTTTTATATATATAGAAATGTTTATATATTCTAAGTGGCCGTTCTGACATTTATCAGCTTAAATGAAAATGTATTTATGATATCTGAAAAACATTTTTTCATAGTTAAAATGATACAAATGCTGAAAAGTAATATTTGGAATATGGAGATTTGAAATTAATTTACAGAAATCCAAAATGTTTATTCTAGATGTGGAGAATGAAATTTAGTTTGAAATGATCATTTAGACAAAGAAAAAATGTTTTTTTCAGATATCAGAAATACATATTCAGTAAAACTAGTACATAAATATCAAAACGGCTTGCCATAGGGTTGTTATCGTGCAAATTTTCTGATTATTTCTTGAATGGTGGTAGATCAATGTATCTATTTAGATGAAATCTTCTGGCAGCAGGTAAGGATGAAAAATAAAAACATTTTTCTGATATATAGAACCTGTGTATCATCTCATGCGTCCCTCCTCATGTTGATTCAGTCTGCTTTTACACAGTAAATCAGTGGCTGTTTGCAGCCGTGCTTCAAATGTTATCACCCCAATAAATGGCCATTATAAGCGTCTATCAGTCCCATAGAATGCCTTCAGATTGCAGTAGGCTCATTAGGTTATTATCATCCAGGGAATCCTAACCCTAAAGTAATTCATTTCCCCCGTGGAATATAATGAATCTATTTATGTGTAATCTATAAATAATTTCAGTAATTATTCATGTACTTTAAATATAACTAAATAAAAATAAAATTATTGCTCATATCAAACAAACCAAAAACAAATAAATCTCATGCCCTGTCAACTGACTGGTAGAATCCTCTCCTATAAATATTTAATTCTCTGTGAAAAGTGCTGATCATTCTTTAATAAGATCCTCGCCAAACGGACATTCAATGTTTGTTTTTTAAACCTAATGTGTCGAACAGACCTAGTGAATGATATATGTTTTTTCTATGCTCAAAAATCTGACTTAATCAGGAAATAAAACTGCCTGATTGGCTGTAAGGAGAGCGGAGACAGAGGACACTCTGAGTTTACTGGAAATAGACCTGCTACCGACCAGGTGAGCTCTGGGGAGAATGTTACTAAGGTGAATGAAACAGAGGTTGAGGAAACTCTCTTTGTGAACTGGTAAAGTCAGAGTTTCCCTATTTTCAGGTTTAGACAACTTATGAGTTTTCGGTAAACCTGCTTCATGAAACAGACCCAGAGTGAAAAATGTTAAGCTGTCATTAAAAATAAGACAAAAAAATGAAAAACTGAAGGCTGCCTTTGAAGTGGCCAGGCAGGGAGGCTCAGTTTAAACCTTGAATTGTTGGGAGGAACAGACGGGACTTGAATCATAAAATGCAAAAAAAAAAAAAAAAAAATCAACACTTAGGAGTTGAATCCATTTAAATAAATCTACTTTGATGGATGAAGTAATGTCTCATCCATCAGCTACTTTTCACAGATGATATATGACGTCTTAGCAGCAATGGCTTAAAACTGTGCACTTTGCAGAGGCCTGCAAGATCCTCATCTGTATGAATATTCAGGGAAGTTCTGCTCGCCTCTGTGTTTGTGCCTAAATCTGTGTACCAGCATATTTTATTAGATTTCAACACAGGCAAATAGAGTTGACCTGCTAAGTCCTTAATCCGAATGTGTGGGCATGAATGAATAAACTTCCAAGTGGAAAAACAATAAAGGTCTGATTATTGTCCAAGTCTGAGAACTTAACAGGAACAGTAACTATCTGAGGGCAGACTGTCGCTAGTGGGGAAAACCAATTTTAACATTTTACCAAATGGAGAGACACATTAAGCATGGATTGTTTACACTATTCTGAAATAACAGCAGCAGTCAGTAACACTGCTCACTGACAAAGAAGAACAAATTCCAGAGTAAAGAAATGTTCTGGAGCGTTTTATAATCTCTGCATATTTGATATTTCATCAATAAAATCAAAGAAATTAAACTAAAGAAAATGTTCCAGCTAAAATGTTATTTCACCTTCAGCTGCCAGATCCCATTCTGCTATGTACACTGCCTGTCTGGGTGTTTACACATCTACAGAATTGGATCCAAACCTTATTATTATTAAAACCATGTTTCTCACACATTTCTGAAGTGGGGAATTGAAAAATGGCACAGAGAACCATCCGGTTTCTATTGTCTTCTCACATAAATCACATCCACCCATACTTGTCATGACGCTAATCTGCTAAGGCACTCTCCCCTGTGATGCATACAGCTGGGAGAGTCTACCCCAGTAATCATCTTAAGTATTTAAACCAAGGTCTGTCAATAGAAATTGAAACCAGTCAGTTTCTCTAATGTTCCACAAATGTGAAACAGAAATAAAAGTTACTGTTGGAGATAAGAACAGACTTTGCTCCCACAGACTTCCATTCATAACCTCCTTCTTTAAGGACATATAAACTCTTTGCATGATTATTTATTGTACTACTGGATAATAATAGTGTTGTGTAACACCAACATAATACCAATTAAACTATTTATTGTCGTATGAAGTAATACTAATTAAACACCAAGTGTTGGAATAAATGGAAATGATTTACCTCCAACATTGTATCCCAGACATGAGCTCTGGTCACAGTATCCTGGCTGTCCAGCTGGTCCTGTAGCTCCTGGATTTCCAGGCCTACCTGCTGCTCCTGGGCTTCCGGGCCTTCCAGGTGGGCCCTGGCTGCCTGTCCGACCTTCACCAGGCAGACCTGAAGATAGAGAAAGAGCCTCTATTTAAATTTGGGTAACTCATTGTGTTTCCAAAGTGGTTTGACATTTAGTGAAATGACTCCAGCTGAGAGACACCTGGTGAGAAAGAATGTAAAACGAAGTTAAAAAAGCAGCAGAATACGTCCTGTAGCGATCATAAACTGCTTCCGTCTCTGCAGCATTTACCGCAAGACATACAAAATTAGTAGCCTACAAATGCTTGGTTGTCATTTCTGGATAAAGGCTGATAGATACTGCCCTGAGGGCAGCTCCTAGCTGAAATCTAGCCCCAGGCATCTGTTTGATGTGTCCACAGCACACACTGCTCCACCAGGACTGCTCAGGGGTCTGCAGGAAAAGGATATCGGTATCCAAAGGTAGTTTCTTTTGCCAAGTGAACAAATTATTATATTTATATAATGAAAGCTCAGAGAATACAACCTCCTTTTAAAAACACTAACGCTTGATATATACGTTTAGCTTTTCTAGTTATGTAATGATGGAAAAGCTTCTGTTGAGATTGTTCTCTTGTATCGATCACAGCAAACTGAAAATACCAACACTGACATTCTTTTATAACACAAACCTCAAATTCCACCTTGCATGCAGGAAAAATCAATACAGACAGTTATATTCCTGGGCTGAGCAGTCTGCTCACCTTCCTCTCTTTGAGAATCACTACAGAGAGAATCCTAAAAGCCTTAGCAGCTGTGGCTAACTTTATTTCCTTATTCTAATATTTCTGACTGGCTTCTTTTAGGGTTGGGGTTTATGGTTAACCCCTTTAGCTAAGAACTCTGAGCATTTCATCTGTAAATTATAGTTAATGTTCATGCACAGAGTAATTTCACATGGTCATGTTTTGCCCAGGTCAATAATCATGCTTGTGTCTTACCGGGTGGACCAGATGGTCCTCGAGGTCCCTGACTCCCAATGCCTGGATTCCCCCTCTCTCCCTTTTCTCCTGGCAATCCTGGAAACAAAGATTTAAGACATGCACCTTTAGGGTGGAAGTCCATCTCTCTGAGGTGCCCAAACAGCTGGAGAAGAATTTTGTAAGCAGTTCTGCAAAATCAGTGTATTGATTAATTTTAAAAGTACAGATTCAGATTCAGAGGTTTATCTCAAATGGCAAATATATTTAATATCTTTGCATCTAAATAAGCAGTGTTTTCAAAGCAGCATGTTTTAAAACACATTTCTAACACAAAAATGGATCTTTGAGAGACACCCCTTTAAAAAGGTAGATACACTACCTTATATGGATAATCTTCATAAAACTATTCATATTTAACCAAGACGAAAATAATTTGAATTTTCTCTTCAAAGGGAAGCAATGCAATTTAGCTGTGCACAACACAGCTGAGGCCACAGCACAGACAGAAAGGGATAGTGGAATCAACAGCCAGACCATTGTGGTTTTTGCAGATGTTTTTTGAAATGATAACGTTTCGCAGGTTGGGAAATACATTTTTCTCAGTTTAATATATCCTCTGTCACAGTAAAATACCTGCTGATATCCCTAGAACCCCCTATGTATCACCATGGCAACCTTCAATAGTTAGAGAGTTCATAATATCTGTTTATTCCAAGTGAAGCATTTTAACCTTCCTTCTAGCCACAACAAGTAGCATTAGCCTGAAATGATTTTTAAGGTCTTCTCCTAAGTTTAACAATGCTGGTCAGAACTGAACCTGAAATGAAAACAGTTTCAGCTGTTTTAACATGATCATTCACCATGCGGTGAATTGCATGGTTGCCGAACGCATAGATAGATTGCATAGATTGCTAGTCTGTTCTTTCTCAGTTATCTTATTTGACTTCCTTCTCCAGTAAAAAAAAAAAAGAATAGCCTAGAAACATTTGTCTTAGAAATTCACATTATAAATGGTAGATTCAAGCCATCACTGCTTCCGCTGAAGTTATTGCGCCATGCGTTAAACTGAACGCTTTGGTTTCATACTATTCTGTAACTCTGGCTTTGTTCTCCTCTGCTCATTTTCCTCATCTGTTTTTTGGGGATGGGGTAGGATTGAAAACTCAAAAATGGTTGCTATGCACCCTTTAACTTGTAGTCCCTTTTTGGGTCATTAAGAAAATCTAATCAAATTTAATCTGCAGAAATCAAAATCTCCTTATTAACAGACTTAAACGTCTGAACCATGCTGAACCAGTGATTATAATCTTTCCATTCCAAATGTTTATTCTTTGTGAAAATGAGCTGAGTAAATCATGTCTGAAGCCTATGTCTGCTTTTTTTTTTTTTTTTAGAAAGCAGCTGCTTTATGATTTCATGTGTTATTTTCAAATATTAAAGAACCACAGTTAAATCTGATCTGTGGATTTTATTTGCTGCTGCTTTTATGGCTGTCTTAATGTAGAAAATGAGTTTCATAACCTCGGATAAATGGCTGTTCTCTTTGTCTTGAAAGTCTGTCCATTAGCTTTTTGAACTGATAAAAAAATAAACAGGTTTCTTATATTCCCCAGTTAAGCTTTTATACTGTAATGTGGTTTATGTGTGCATAGAGGACCAGAGGCATCATATTCTCTATTTTACTTGAAATACTGAAAGGTCTGAAGCCCTGATGAGGACGAGTCATAGCTGGGCAGACATTCAGCAGTTCTTTAATTGTTGTTCCTCTTTATGTGCATCTAGGCTGCATTCAAATATGGCTCTTCAGCGTGGGTTGTATGTTTCAGTGATTAAGATGAAAAACTCATAAATGCCGTCTGTCCTCTCCAGGCCTTGTAGCAAAGGAATGACCTCATGGACACTGAAGCTACTGTGTTTAATGTTATTTGGGAGGACCAGACCACCAAATACAGAAAACAAGCAGAATGGATCTCAGACAAAGAATCAGTGTGAGCAGAAAGGCCTGCAAAGTTTCTCCCAGCGTATGCATAGCTTATTTTTATTGTTCATCCAGCTAAAACACTGTGTTTAAGCTTTAATAGTTGTTCTCCAAACCAATTCTTCATTCTGGCAGGCTAATTCAAGTTCTATTCTCTAGATTTTGTTATTTTTTTAGAATTTTTTTGGGGGAGTTAATAGTTTAACTTTTAATTAAAAAAACGTTCTGTGGAGAAGGTCCACAGCCATAAGGTGCTAGCTGACTGCTCTTAACTCCCATATATGGCGGTTCTAATGGCAACCATCAATAAATACCTGAACTAAACATTTTTGATGAACAAAAGAATAGAGTCAGATCATTATTTTAGATTATAAAGATAAATCACACTCATAATTTCCCCATTTTTATGCATTTTCTGTTTTACTCTTAACAATTTATATATTTTTTTTGTGACTGACTCACACAAAACTAATGTCAGTGCTAGACTGGACTGTTGATATAGATTGTTTTTTTAATCAAATTTTAATCTTTTTACTATTTTATTAATGTTTATTTTAATATTTAATTTCCTATCATAAGAAAATCATAAAGTTATTATTGGTCCCGAACCACTGTGTGGAGGAGGAGAAAGTCAGTAGCCCAGGGTACAGCTGCTGAGGTCAGTCCTCCTTTAGTGACATCACATCCCAGGATAAGCCAATTGTAAAAATCAGATCAGATGGTTTCGATATAAAATCTGAATAACGCCCAGGACATGTAGAGACATCACTATAAGACATCTATTCATACACTTTACTAAAAGGTTGATTTAGGGGTGAGTAGTGCTTTAAGGTGACGCCAAATGAAAAAAATGAACCTATTTCAGCAATTTTTGTGAATAAAACCATTTGAGGATCAGCTTTAATTAATTTATCTAAATAGATCTGTGAATGTCAGCAGGTATTTTATCGGGGTAGAACAGACAAAAGGGGATATTATAATTAAATCAACACATGTCGAATGAAAGACAATCGAAGTTGATTTAATGATTTAACTTCTCACTGCTAGAGCTTTCTGTCATAGCAACACAATCCGTGGTCTATGCCTCATCCCTCAGCTGATACTCTTATAAAGCAGAGATTCTGCTTATAGAAAGTGCTTCTCAGTAGCCTCCAATTGTAGATTATTTCCCAGTTATTCCAGTGGGTGTTTTTTCCCCAATTATTTTTAGACCTCTTCAAATCAAGCGCCAGACTCTTAGCAGGCTGTCCACTGTCACTTTAACAGTCAGGAGCACAAATGATGAAATTTGTGAGAGTTTAAACAAGGCAACCCTCCTTCAACATACAGAGTAACATTGTTTTCATCATGTTCTGCTAATATGATAAGCCTGTGTACATATCAGCAGTTTAAACAGAAATACATGTAGAGGTGTTCTAATTTATTTCTAACCACAAAGAGGTTAGAGAAAAACATTCCTGTGTTAGATGGATGATTTTATAATAATATCATCAATATTTACTTATTGATGACTGTTAAGATGTGTGTTTATTCTGCTATCAAAACATAATGAAATACTATTCACGGTCCATCGAGGGAAAAATGTTCATTTTCTTTTATTTTCCATGCCAGCATCTTCTCATCTCACCTCTCTGACCAGGTTGGCCATTCTGGCCATTAGTACCGGGAAAACCGGGCCTTCCAGGTGGACCTTGCTCTCCCTGAGGACCAGGAGGACCTCTCCTTCCTGGCTCCCCCGGTGGGCCAGGAACGGTTCGGACTGATACTGATGACTGTTGGGGGATCTGGTTCAAGATGGAGTTATAGCGAGACAGATGGCCTACATTTAGCAGAGATGGGGGGGAGAAATGCTTTTTAACAATCTTTTTAAAAATCCATTATTGATGAGAATTAGAAGGAAAACAAACACAAAAAAACACTAACTTTGGATGATTTGTTCACAAACTTGTCGTGCAATCGCTCTCACGGCTGCTTGGGACTGAACATCACCCTAAGGAACAAATGAACAGCAGACTGGTAGCACTTTTCCATTTGAGCAGCAACAGGGATATTAACCGAGACCAGAGGTTCATAAATAGGAGAGGTCGTACTAGGGGTAACTAACACAGCCAGCCTTTATTCTATACTCATTGGCTAATATTTATATTTTCCAAAACAGCAAATAATTTTCAACCACATGTCAGAGCTTATTATTTACCAAATTTTTATGTACATTATTTTTCATGAATCAAACTTGACCTTCAGAGTAAATGTGGAACTATAATGCAGTTTTTGAAAAATCTAGTTTTTTATTTGTAATTTTTCAGTGAAATATTTGTGAAAAAGTGTAGAACAGAGGTTCCTCCCTTTACTATGACTTAAAATAAAAAGTTAAGTTATGTAAGATCTTTCATGGGATGCAGAAATATTTAACTCCAAGTCAGACTTCAGGTGATTGTATTCCTTTAGGATCAATATAAAATTGGACGACTTCTTGAAGTCACATGAGAAAGGTCCTAATGAAAACGGCCATTCTTTTTCATATATCAAAGAGCAAGAATTCAGATGTAGGGTTGACCAATTATTTAAAAAAAAATCCCCATCAGATTATCACTATCTTTGTTCAGAACTAGGCCACCTCACAGAGACTCGCAGGAGAAAATCCTCTTATTTTCTTTTTCAAAAACTTTCATCTTCCTTCTTGAACTAAAATTAGCTGCAGCAAGTTACAAACGTCCCCGTCGTTCAGGTTTGATTCAAGTCAGTGAGCAGTGTGTCTCACAAGCCCCTGGCAATGGTGTCCTTGCTTCTGTGTCAGCAAAAATCCACATACTGCTCCATGAACGCCGATTTCATTCGATTGACTCTAAACACGATGTTTGAGTGAAATAGCAAAAACCAAAGGCTCTAACAGGTTAATGGGATTTCTTTCAAATAGGAGCAATTTCCAGAAGGAAAAACATTCCCAGTGGAAGATTTTAACAGCAGCACAAATGTAAAGATGGAGTATCTTACTCGTTCTCCTTTATCGCCTTTGGTACCAACAAGACCCTAAAAGAGAGAAGCAGAGGAAGAATAGGACCTTTTATAAAGATCTGGTGTTTTAAAAACATTTTGATTATTAAAAAGTTTATGGGATCAGACCAAGATAACCTGAGTAAAACTAAAATACAGACTTAAACAAGGATTGCATTTATAAAAAAAAAAAAAACGGCAATTCAAACCAGGCTGGGCATTCATTAAAAGAAAAAAAAGATGTTAAGTTGACTTACTGAGTTAACTAAGTTAAACTCACGTATGTTTACGTAAGGCCGTCCTAAGTGCTTGTCCCTGTCTGATATACTGTACAGGTCCTTCTCAAAATATTAGCATATTGTAATAAAGTTATTTATTTTCCATAATTTAATGATAAAACTTGAACATTCATGTATTTTAGATTCCAATTTTAGATTGTCTTAATACTTAATAATTCCGAAAAATGTCTCAAATATATATGAATGTTCAAGTTTTATCATTACATTATGGAAAATAATGAACTTTATCACAATATGCTAATATTTTGAGAAGGACCTGTAGTGGAAAAATTGCAAATCTTCTTTTGGAAAGTAAGCTTGTATGAGTGATGCAAACAGTGACTTTTAAACAGAGCGTGCACGAAGAAAACTGGGATCATGCATGCCCTGGCACGCGTTTAATAGACGTTCCCTTTCGGGAGCAGGTACAGGACGTGCATATTTTAAGTAGAGAGGGTGGGTATTTTCAAAATATTCATAAAAATCCTCCACTATACTTTGTATGGAACCATGGCAATCACAGAAGAGTTGTAAAGGAACTTCAGAGGCTTTGGGACTTCAGTGAATCACAATGAAAGCCACAAACAGAAAAAAAACAAACCATGAACCCTCCTAGAGGTGGTCGGTGTGTGAAAATGACTCCAGGAGTTCCCTGACAAGTCATCCAGGAGGTCACTAAAGAACTAAATTACAGCACAGCTCAGCTGTTTCAGTTAGGGTCAGATTAATGATTCAGCAATAATAAAGAGACTGGGAAAATGCTATCAATAGAGTTCCAAGGCAAAACGGACTACCACAAAATGTTAATAGGGTGTGCTTCCATTTACATCTAGACTTTAACCTTCATAATGTCATGCATGCTACACCCTAAAACTCTTACAGCACAGCACACAAATGTATACTATCAAATACTGTAAAGCCAAATTGTCTTTTAAAAGGGGTAGAAGCAGTCGGCCATTGCTCTAGAATTGAAATAAATCCTTGTGGCCTATCCATAATTCCTTTATAAGAGGGTAAAACAGACTGTTCATGGTCAAAGCGCTCTAATGAGAGAAAACAAGCCAAATTTCCTCCCACAACAACACAAAAGACTCATTGCCAGTTATTGCAAATGCCTGATGGCAGTTGTTTCAAACATGAATATTAAAACCAGTTATTAGGTCTGGTGGACAATTGTTTTCAAATACGGCCAGCTTGGTTTGAAAAGCCTTTTCTCCCAAATAGATGAACCATGGCTCTAAAGCACAGTAGAAAATACTCAGGTTATCTCTGACTCATACTAAAATGCATCTAATGATAAAAACAAAAGCATATGAGATGTGTAAGGGGGAAGGGGATAGTCATTCACAGCACATGCCTCTTAGAAATAGCCTCTCTCCACCAATTTCACCATTTGTTACTCTTATCTGACATTTTCTGTATGTCTTGCGATCTCTTGTCTAACTAAGATTACTGAAACATAAAAGATTGGAACGGATTCACTGCAACAAGCCTCAAACTTAGAGAGTCACAGAGGCTGACGTGTGCTTTGGATGAACCTGCCTTCTGCTTTTTTTCAACAACCTAAAACCAAGGAGAAGAGGTCTGAATGTGCCAAGCATGAGAATATCCGAGTCGTTGTAATTCAGACGTGTATAAAGGACAAATATTTGCTCTCCATAAACCTCTGACTGTTAAATAAAAGCTGTAACTTTTTAACACTCTTAAATGACAGCTTGTTTATCTTCTAGCAGATACAAACGCCCTTGACCACCGCCACCAACCGTCTGGTTGTACTTGTGGGCGAGGGTTTGTGTTTGGTAGGAAATTAAAGACATATTATTCAGCCGATGATAGAAAAAGTCTTGCCAGTATTTAACACAGCTGCCCTGGATAGTAAAACTTCTTGAACTTGAACCTCTTCTATGAGCCAGAATCCTATGAGTCTTTCTGGGCACATAAATGTCTGTCGTCTTACCAGGGTGACATGAAAAAACCCAGCTAAATAAAGTTGATGGGACAACTGCTCATAAAAATCTGATTTATGATTGATCAAATCTGACCTCCTTTTTTATGATCTGCGTGTGCAGGGTTTCTCCAATGAGAGGATATGGAGTATTATTACCATTAACCTTGAGTTTAAAAATGCAGAGGGAAGAATCCCTCTGCTGACTCACTTCTCTCTCAGCATGTCAAACGTGGACTGATGAAGCGCTCCCGAGAAGATTGTTGAGTTTCTTTCTTTCATAGTTGGCAAACGTGAGGCTGATCACTATCAAGTCAAGCAAGATGAATTTCAGAAAGACTCTCCTGTGGTTGGATGACTGGAAACCACATTTAGATTCAGACTCTGGACCAGGTTCAAAAACTCGGCAGATGTCAGCGGGAGCTTTGACAATCTGGCAAAAGTATACATATATCTAATCGCAACCATAGTGAGCTATGGGTAAAAGGAGCACTGACAAAACAGTAAACCAAGTCTGCTCAGTTCATCTATTAAAGGTTAATCCTAAAGTTTCATCATTACTGATCTTGATAAATGAAGCACAGCATTTCCAGATGCACTGTCTCGTCTCTAAAAGAAGTCGTTTGGGTTTCATTTTAGCCACTCAAGTCAAGAAACTGAAGCTCTGCTGCACTCCGGATTTAAATGCCATTAACCTCTGACTGATATAAATCTACTGTCATCTAATTAAGTTCTTAGTGGGGTCAGATATGTGCAGCCCAGATGACCTTGACAGGCAAACCAGATTCCAGGTTGGAATTTCAGATTCAGCTGGATGCTGAGATTTAAGATAAAGAAAAAAAAAAAAAACATAAAAAATAAACCTTGTGCACTTTTGCTTCATACAGAAAGCAGATACAATCTATTATAGAAACTTTTTTATGGGTTTTGTGTCCTTTTTTTTAAACAAGTGCGCAATGGTGAGGGTGTCAGTGATTTATAGATCAACTCTCCAAGCCAAACTTGCTGCTGGCTTGATGAGCTGACCCAGGACTAGGTAATCTGTCCCCAACACCGCAGTGTCATCTGTCATGGTTACACATAGTTTGAATCCAAAAAAAGTCTATTCAGCATCCTTGTCTATGTTTAAGTGGCTTGCACTAATTCTTTTTCTTTTTAACAGCAAAAAAAAAAAAAACATGAGGAATAAAAGGTGCTGCAACTCAGATTTTAAAAAGCACGCTACACTAGAGGTCTGCCTATTAGAGTCTAAAGCCTGATGACTAAACTACTGTCAGATTGCAAAAGCATTTATATCCCATTTATTGTTCACTTTTTTCCACATTACAGTGGAAAAATTTTAATAGCTTTCATTAGGACTCCGGTATCCCTATGAGAATGTATCAGTTAGATCAATAATTAATAATGTCAGTGTTAATCAAGCTGCTCTTTGAAGGTCTCAAAGGATTGTTGCCTCTGCAGAGGTTCAAAGCCCAGAGGTGAGAATCTGTCTGCAGCAGATAGATTTTATACCACTAATCTGACCTTTATGAAGGAGTGACAAAAAGGAAGATATTGCAGACAGGAAACCATTAGATACATGTAAGCCACAACGTTCAGGTTTTTATCTATATTTAAAATAGAAAATCATGCAAGATTTAAAGTGATTTTGCAAAGTAAGTTAAGTGAATTTGCAAAGTAAGAATATCTTAAATTCAGCCTGAAAAAACAACTATATATTCATGTATAATAATATATGTCTGATCACAACATGTAGACAATAAAAAATAAAATAAAAACCATAATGCTATAGATTAAAATTCCTAAAAAAAAAAAGATTAAGTCTTCATTGGTAGACCAATTCATTTGGATGCGTTTAATCAGTGCATCTGAATTTTTTGTTAGTTGGTCTTATGGACTATCTTGAGAAATAATAATACAAAAAAAAACAGCTTACCCAGAAGTATCTAAATGTAAAAAAAAAAAGAAAAAGAAAAAGGTTGATGGAAGGCATGTCATTTAAAGTAAGATCTCAACTCACAGGAACTCCTTGTTCGCCTGTAGGCCCTGCTGGTCCTTTTGGTCCTGGAGCTCCAGGAGCTCCCGGGACTCCCTGAGACACAGAAAATAAAGGGAAGTGAGTGAAGAAAGGAAAATAAAATAACACGACTGTAATAAATATAGACTCACAATAGGTCCAGGAGGTCCTTGTCTTCCCTGAGGTCCGCTGTTACCTGGCTGACCCTGAAACAGAGATTATGAAATACATTCAGCATCTCACATCATGTTAACCTTTCTTTTATTATGAGTCTTTTACTTCCATTTTCAGAAGTAGTTGCTTAAATTGAAATTGGTTTGACCGGAAATAGAATAGGGTGGAGAGAGAAGGGGAAGAAATGACAGGGTCTCATGGGCCAGGACTCGGTCCTTGACAGAACTGAAGCCTCACTACCTTGGTGGGCAGCTCCACCTCTACTCCACAGCCCAGCTGTGGTCCAGATTTGTTTTTTAATATTGTAATAGTAAACAGTTAGGCTACAATTAATGTGTGCAGCTTCATTACTGGACTCAAGCAGCCTTGATCAAACTTTGATTATTTTAAGTTTAGACAGATTGTATAAACAAGTTAATTCCTTCTAACTCTAGCATTAGCAGCAAATACACTATGTTCATGCGAAGATGTTCTCTATTAGTATACATCTAATCTAACAATATGCAACTGCAACTTTAATCCCTACAACAGATTGTCATGTAAATCAGGCCAGCTCTCAGGTTTTACAGCATATTAAAAATAAATTGTTTCTAATACTACGATGGTTTGTTTGCTAGAATGATTATTGGTTGTTTAAACTGAGCTATATCTTTGTTTAATGTAGAACTTGGACACCAAATGCAGCCTCAAATTACTGGAAAACAGCTTAACCCAAAACCCGGCTAATCCTTTTAATTTAGATTGAACTTTGAGGCTGATTGCCTTTCAGTATGGACAACATGTGGAGCATGTCCTCATTATGCCTTTGAAAGAAAAGAAACTAGAAGAAAAACATAATGTTTCCAAAAAAGGATCATTCAGAAAGGAGAATACATCATAGAGACTATTCTATATGATGAAAAGATTTTTGTGGGAGTATTCTTTTTCTGAATTTTGTTCTCTAGCTGAAATGAATGATGCTATCTATGACAATGCAATCACTGTAATATACAGCATATAGGACAGCAACGGCCTGAGCTTCTCTGAACTGCCTGAGCCTAAAAGAGACTAAAACTTAGGTTTTAAAGGGAAAAGAGACAACTGACACCTTGAGGCAAAGCTGTTAATAATATTCACACCAGGCTGGTGCTGTTACAACTGAGATATGTATAAAGGCCTTAGTAGCACAGCTGCTTTGTGTGTTGTGTCTTTGCATTTCTCAGTCTGCAACCAAAATGACCTCAGCATGCAGCTGCAACTAAGATGACTTCCTTGTCAGTATTGGATGGATTCCTTCTAAATGACCAATCATGAAGCAATTTCAGCTGTTTTTAGAAGCAGGAGGCACCTTGTCTGCTGAACCATTAATCTCAAGCTACATCTGTTCATTCTATATTTGCAACTATGAACACAAATCCATAGGATACTGAAGGCATAAGGAGTTAATAACCACTTATTTGCAGCTCTGGTACATTGATTGTCTCATAACTGGCTCTTGTGTGTCCAGCAGTGTATCATGGCTTAGAACTTATTAGCTTAGAAATATTAAAAACAGCAGGAAAAGCTGGCAAAGTTCAGGTAACCAGATGTTAGCATTGCTATAATGATTTGGTCTTTCAACACGTATTCAGAAACCATCAAAGAAATTGATGAAAGTGAATGGTCTCTATTTTGTTTTTGTGGTTAAAGGTTTCCTAACCACTCTGTAATGTATATACAGAGCAGTAAATGCAGGCTTTTATTTCTACACTGTTTCATAATCAGGCCATTTTCTTACTGAAATCATTACGTACTACCCTTCGTTTAGAGGCAGAGCAAACACTGATGGGTTAGACAAGTGGCAAGTTGGAAGAGTTGTGATTTTTTTTGTGTTACACCAGGTGCTCAAATACTTTTAAATAGGCATCCTAGCGTGATTTCAATCTGAAAAACACACGGAGAGAAAAGACATTTAGAAGAAATGTGTTGAAACAATTACTTAGACGATTGCTTAAGACATCGGCAGGAAAATTAGCGCTAATTTTGATGGATATGCATGAACAAGAGTAAAGAACAGGAGTGTTTCCCCCCAAGGCCTGAAACTGGTGGTGGAGTGGAGATAGATGAAGTTGGTCAGTCTGTTGACTACTGGTTGGCGAGACGATACGCTGAGCTTTATGGGGAGATCCAGTGGACTGCGTGAGCTGATACTAGAGCTTCACTCAGGGATCTGGAAGATGGAAGTCCAGTTGGATAACACAGGTTGAGAGAACCTGTCCATGATGAGCAAGCATGAAGCGATAGTGGAGAGGAAAAACTCCCCGTTGGGAAGATAACCTCTGGCAGAACCAGCCTCAACATGGTGGTCTTCTACCGGACCGGTTGAAATGAGACGCAGAATGCAGTAAGAGTCCGGGAGTAATGAAACTCTGATGAAGTTTTAGCCAAGATGGTGGAGAAGGGGATGGAGGTGGGTTGAAACAGGTCATCTGAATAAAGTCACACAGCACAACCACCGCAGGCGGCAGACAAGTTGCAGATCGGAGGCCTTTTAAGATGAACTTTGGGCGCTGAATGGCTTTCGTGGAGGCATTGTTCAAAGCTGATTAGCAGTGTCATAAGCGGATGAAGGCGAGAAATCAGTTTATTCAGTTGAACATCCGCCTAGGCTCCATTTTTAGACATGAGGAGTAGAAAAAGCAGCAAAGAGTATGAGCTATGGCTAACCTTTCCCCAACCTTCTGCTTCAGAGCCTTGATCATTACCAATCAAATTTTAAAGTTTGGGATCATTTGTGCTCTTCATCCTTTTTACTGTGATTTTACAGACATGTGTTCAAATATCATTCTGCATACATAGGAGAATAGATTCCATATTTGTCTCTGCACAGCAAAAACTTTCCCTGCCAACCTTTCATGCTGCTAATGATAAGTGGGGGCCCATCATTTCATACTTTGCATAGTCTTGATTGATCAATCTTTGAATGAGGTCTTGCCAAAAAAGGTTGCATTTTTTAAGTAACCTCTTGAAGGAAAAGAAACATAATTAATAGTTCATTGAATAAGAGAAAATTATTTATTTTTTTATTATGGATAAAAAAAAACATATTTATTTAATTAATGCATGCATCTCAAGTAACATTTAAATATTTACATTTACAAATAGAGATCTTTCCAGTATGTGTCACATTTGGCTTTCCATACCTGCGCCAGTTGCATTTGATCCAATTTATAGATTTTTACTTGTGTGACATGTTTAAAGTGGACCACAAAATGTTCTGGTCAAAATCTTTCTTAAGCAGATACTGTATGGCTATACAGTAAAATTGTCTATTTATTTACTTCAACCACAGCATTGTTGCAGCCGCCGAAGGGTGATGTAGTTACGTCAGTGAAATTCAAAACATCTTTACCTCTTAACAATACCCATTGGTTCGGTTTTTTGCTCCGGCAGAGCGCTTTAAGCTATGACCACCTTCTCAGGCTTTTGTGGGTTAAGGTGATCTGAAGTTCTGTTCTTTCTAAAGCTGTTCCTGTGGCTTGAGGCAGCTTCTTCAGGTGAGAGCTGCAGTACCCTTCATGTCAGGTGGGGGAGCTGCTGCCTGACTGGGTACAGAGGGGATTGTAATTTCCTTTCTCTACTTGCAGCACAGCCAAACTTATGTACAGGTATAGCAACTTCATAAACTTCAGAGAAATGTCGTCAGCAGCAAAACCTAAGGACCCACACTGAGCTTCCAGTGTGGGTCCTTGGGCAAGACCCTTCACGCCAATGCCTGCTTTGTGGAGTGGCAGCCTAGCCCACACTGCTCCCAGGCTGCCGCACCATGGCAGCCCACTGGTCCCTAAGGGGATGGGTTAAATGCAGACAGTTAATTTGGTTGCTCTGTACTTGTGACAGTGTGATGACAACAAAAAACACTGGAAAAAAGAAAAAGCTGGATAACCAGTTAGAAGGAATGGCTGGAGGGGGAACTTCCCAATACTGCAGTGGATCTAAAAAAAAAAGTATAAATAGGAAAACATTTTATGAAACTTAAGAATAAAGTTTAAATTCCCTTGCAAAAATATTAAAAAAAATGCTAATATTTGTGGCAAATTATGTAAGGGGCTGAAGGGGCCATTCAACTGGCCCTGTTGTCCCCCCACCCCCCACCCAGCCATCGGCGGCCGTGAATTAGACCTTTTTTGGATTTACCATGTCTTGGGCAACTGAATATCCACCATCTTGACACTTAAAGTACTATTATCCCCTCCTTTTAAACTTTGTATGTAGATGTTTCATAACTAAATAGCAAACACTCTCTGTTGCAGCAAAGACCATCTAATAACATACACACATGTGAAAGCGAGGATGATTGAAACAACCTGTCAGCCAGCTTTTTTATAAACATATAAAACATTGGAAAATTCTCTGGTGAACAATAAAACAATAAAACGAAGATTCATTGCTTTTCCTTGATCTATTCCACTGTGATATGGGTAAATAAATTACCCAGGATACAGCTACTGTTGGTGATCTAATCTACCTGACTTTAGCTGCACACTTGGAGTAATGCTTATTTGTGCATTTCAAATAACACTCAGAGAAAGCCTGTGCTCACAGCATGATACTGCATAATAGTGTACAGTATAGATTAAACTGTGCTTAATAGAACTCAATTTGACTAGAATTACGAAAGCAAGACTGTAACTGCTTGTTTTAGAGACCCTTTAATTATTTTTTGTGTTTTGATTGGTTTCAAATGTGTGTTTTAAGCATAGTGTGGTAGCACTGGTAATACAGTATCTGTTTACCTGATTTTTTTTCCAGCTTTATCTGCTGTTTTTTCAATATTTTCAGCCCAGCTAAAGTATACAGCTGGAGACCTAACAGCAATTTGTTCAAGAGCATTAGTGATATTGTGTTGCAAATTGTGCTGCAGTCTTATTAGCTCCTTAGGATTTCATATTTGCATGCACTGTTGACTTTATTTAAAATGTTGTCTAAAGTTTTACATATGAAGACACTAGATCTAGCAATTGTTAAGTTAAAATGCTGGAGATTGGTTAATTAAAAAAGCAAGGTGCCTCCTGCTGTCGAAGCTAAACTTGCAGCATGACTGGTAAATTCTAATAAATATAATCAATATAGACATTAGTAAACAGGCTGTGTATTCAGTGAACATCGTACAGTGACGGTAAAGGCAAAATATGACACATTAGGTTTGGCTTTTTGTTGGAAAAAACACAAAACACTGATATAGTTAGGACACTCCAAAAACAACAAGATAATAAGATTGCAACACATATAGCAGTGTGGGTTTGAATAAATAAAAATTTGATCTAATAAATTATATAAATAAATTATGTCAATCCTGTAGTCATACGTGTTTTCTTATCCAGTTCTGTAGGAAACCTGGGATTAAGGGCCCAGCAAAACATCAATGTGTTGTAGAAGAGGAAGCTCAAATCAAAACCCACACCTTTTAAATCGCATGACACCCATCCTTCAGTGGATCTACAGAGGCCCCCTTACTTATGAGTAAATAACTCTTGAATTGAATATTGGGGACAAAAACATTCTAAATGGGAGATATTTTACAAAGCATACAGTAACAGTTCTTTCCATTGACCTTTTGGTGGCTTAACCCAATGAACTCATGATACTGTTGAGGAAGAACTTGCCTCAGTTTGGTCTTCGAACCATTGCCAAAACAGACCTGCAAGCACCCCAGATCCATCCAACCATAAATCTTTTATGCTCTCTTATCCATGAAAGATCAGGTTGTGGGCTGGTGCTTAAATCTCGGAGTCAACAGGTGAGTAGTGGAGCTAAACGGGATGGGTCTACTCACTGCATTGCAAAAATGAACAGGATAAACCTAGGATGCATGTCTTTAGACTGCGGGTAGCCACTACGGTACCCAGAAAGTACTTAAGTGGCTAAGGGGTGTAAATACCATGAAATGAAATTAATTCACAGCAAATAAAAAATAAAAATAAAAATACAGCAAACACAAAAACAAGGCAAGCAAACTCTAAAATGGTAATGCGCTCATAGTAAAGTAATATGGTACCCGGCTCATAGTAAAGACATAAAGAGGCCTTTTGAAAAATTCAGTGCTAAAAAATAGTCTTCACCCCAAATGTCGCATGGGAAGGAATCACATTTATGTTTTTGTAATGGATCTGACCCATAGACATTGGCCGAATCCCAAAGTGGTCCCTAAACAGTTCTCCCAACCACTAACCCGTCTTTGCTTGTTCCTGCTGTGGCTCCGTCGCATTAAGGGCCATCCCAAACATTGTAGTGGGTAGGGCGCGTGGACCGCTCAGCCCTAAATTATTATGCATCAGTGCAGCCTCACTGGTGTTTTACAGTCGGTGTTATGGCAAACTAATAGCTTGTATTCAAATTTAAGTTCCACTGGTTTGCTACATCTTTGTCACACTGACAGAAAATCATAAGTTAGGAAAAAGAAAAAGGAAGTTACTAATTCCTAAAAGGAATGTCCTTTTTGAAACAATTTTATATGACTATATACAATTATTTTTAAGAAAAGGGCAAATGATTGATGTCATGTAAACCTGCTCCACAGAGTTACAGCCATGGACATAGGGTGCACTGTGTTGCCAGGGCAACGACTGTTTTCCTTTTCCATTAGAGAAGAGGCTGTCCCATTCTCATTTATACCCCCAACCTTCAATCAAAGCGCCCTCTACAGCTGTGAGTGTGACTTCATTGGGACTGACACTCGATAGCAGTGGAGCATAATGGGCAGTTTGGGATTGGCCCGTAGGCTCCACTATTTAATCCATTATAGCTGGAATACTCTCTATTTCTTTTTCGCAGAACAAGCAAAAGAATAAGTTTTGTGCCTTTATGGAGGGGAAAGATGCTTTTACTTCCAACCAAAATTTGGGTTATCAGATCACTCTGCTAGTTGCAAAACAAATCAAGAATGTGACACGTCACAGCTGCTACTGTGATAGGCAAAAAGCCAGACATGGGAGACAGGTTCTACTTGGTGATTAACCCATCAGCTTGAGGAATTGTATTGAATGTCCCTCCCTTTTCTGAACACTTTCTACAGGAGTCAATCCAGATGCATATTGCATAGAATTCAAATTATACTACGTGTATAAATCTGGCTTATCCTAGATTAATGGTATAGTACCATGTGTGTGGAGGACCTTCTTCCCCTACTGGTCTAGAGCACTTCTTTTATGCAGAGCTAGTTTGCAGCTTTTTTTTATCCTGCAATTTTCTTTTTTTCTACTTGCGCAATTTTTCCTTTACATAAGTTTTGTGTGGTTGTGTTAGCATCATGTATGTATTTGCAACAGGTTTCGTACTTTACTTCATTTCCCCTTTTTTTGATTGCAGCATCTGGACTTTGCACCTTTGCAAGCGTGTGTATGTTTTGTGTGTTTGTGTGGTAATTTATAAGTTTGCCAGTCTAATATTTGTGATAGCAGTAGTTGTTGTACCGGTAATTTGCCAGGAAATAATGTAGTTAAGAACCTTTGCGCCCATTTGCCACTGTAAAGAACACGTTTGCATGTACAGATGGAAAAAGGCAAACTCCAAGATTCTGATAGGAATCCAGTTTGTGTGGGTTGTGCTTTTGCGTCTTTCTCTCCCTCCACCACCAGGTGGTGCCCTGTCCTCGTTGTTCTCTCACACACCTGCGTCTGGTTTACTCATCACTGAACACCTTTTGAGCCATGGACTGTCACAACCTCGGCGCCAGAGTGTTTGCCAGTTTTGGGTACTCTAGCCAAGCTGAGTTTTGCTGAGTATAACTTAGTCTTTGTTTTTTTTCCGCTGAGCATAACCTACTTTTTGTCTTTGCCTTTTCGGCAGGAAGCCTTCCTGCAAGCTGGATGTTTAGGCCTTCTCCCCCTGGAAGAATTGTTTGAGTCTCACACTGGGCAGGGGCTAAACCTCCACAAGTTCCGTTCAAGTCCTTCTGGATACCCAAGTGACAGTCCGCTCTATAGCTCCTCTGGGTCTAACCAAGTCTATACCTGTCCGCCCTCCAACAAGTATCAACCTCTGGAAAAAACCCACACGGACTGGATTCTGGGAGGAAAGTTTTCTCCGCTTACGTGAGTCCCGTTTTCACTGTCTCTCCAAGTCATCGTTCAAAGTTCCCACGGATCCTGAACTAACCACTGATACTTCCCTTCCCTCTTCCAGTTCCGGTTCACCAGTTCACTGTGTTTCCTGAATCCAACCCCGCTGGTTTCATCAATAAACCTGTTCAAACTTTTACCCTGGTTCTCTGAGCGGTTTACTGCATGTGGGTCAGATCTCTTAAGAAAATCATGACAGATTCCAGCTGGAATTTCAAACTTCTTGTTGCAAGGCAAACTTTACTATCAGCTTGATGCACCCAAAATACCAAGTTTAGTTATTCTTCAACAAGTATCAATCACAAGAAATAAAACTTATGAATTACTATCAGAGTGCTGTGTTGCTCATCCAGTTAGGTGTTTAGATAGATAATTGATCGATGGGAGGATGACAATCTGGCGATCAATATCTCTCAGTTTTTATGTGAGGCTTTAAAAGGAGTGGCGTTCATCCAAGGCAGCTTAAACACAAAGTAGGTATACAATAGTGTGACAGTTATTGCAACTGAGTAACTACTTAAATACATCATGAGTAGGTTGTTCTGCAATCTAGTTTGACATCACAATAAGATGTATTGATTTTAAAAGTGAAACAAAAATGCTTAAAAATGTCTTTAACAATCATTTATACCCCTGAAACACATTGAATCCCACATCGATAATAAAATATCTATTACAAAGCCAAAATAAAATATGATTGTTTTTGTGACTTAAAGTCCTAAATTTATCTGGTACATCAGAAAAAATGCTTTAGACCATATTAATGTGTCATGAAGGAAGCAACGTGGCAGGTGGGAAAACTGTACATGAGGTGCTCTAACAAGCACAACTAAAAAGATGAGCACCAGCACTGCTGTCAGCCAACAGAAAGCAGATGGATTACGCGCAGATTCATCCACCTCTCCGGGAGCACAGCCAGGACAGAACTCCTCTGTTATCATATTACAAATTTGGACAAAACCTTTATTGCAGCCTGCTGACTCCCTACCCTTTGGCTGCGCCTCTGTTTTGCTATTTACAGCTCAGTCGGGTATTGTAAGGCAAAAATTACGCTGCCAACATTTGCCGCAGCCAGCTGGTATCACTGAGCCTTTATGAATAGGATCTTATTTGGTCTGAATGTTGTTTTCAACAACCCAAACCTGGGTGGGATGCAGTTTTTTTGTGACTCACGAAGATCCGCAGTTTTATGTGGAGACATAAAACCAAAAAGGGAAATGCAGCTGGGGATTTAACAGATGGAAAATACACAAGTACAGTGACATGTAGGAATATTTCAAGACAGAGATTAAAGTGTCTGTTTATCGAAAAATCCACAAGTTCCATTTGATCTGATAGATCTCAGAATTAGCAGGGAGGCGAGACCAGCTGAAAACCAACAGTTTGATAAATTCCTAAAAACCAAACAAAACAGACAGCAGTGAGCTCAGCAGTTAATAGAAGCCTCGGACATTTACAGAGTGCGGTTTTTGGTAGGTGATTACAGGATTTGTCCCATGAAGAATTACAAGCAACAGCCAAGAGACAAATCCCCTCCAGCAGGTAGACATCTCATTATCCATGTCTACCACAGAGAGAAGACTTCTTAAGGCTCCACACAGAGGGTTGACCGCAAGGTGCAAGCACACATAAGTCTCAAGACCAGAAAGAATTTTTGAGTATTTGCCAAGAAATCTAAAAAAAAAAAAAAAGAAAAAAAGAGTCTGAAACAGCAAACCAAGATGATATGTACATCATCAAAGGCAACAACAGCATTTCCCTTATGATGAATAGCATATCAGGTAATAGTTAAGTATTTAAAATGAATATACTATAATGCACGGTTTATACTGACCATGTATTATGAAAACAAAAGAAAGAAAATAAATAAACCAACCAAAATCAAACCAGAGAGGATTTGATGAAATATCAGTGTAATATCTTACCCTCGTTCCAGGAGGACCATCTCTGCCAGGGGAGCCAGGGCTTCCAGGGATACCCTAAAGAAAATACAAATATACATGTTTAAATCACCAAATCAACCAAAATTCAGATTGTATTGCAGTCTGAAGTACACAAAATGATTAAGCTTACACTGCAAGCATTTTATAACAGTAACTCAACCTATGCTGCTGCTGAGCTGGGATGCTATTAGGCAGATTTCTACCATGAAAACGTGTTTGATGTTGTTTCATATTTATGCTTTAAAGGACTTGGCATCAGACTACTGATGATTTCAACAGACATCTGAAATATAATACATGGTCGAACTAACTTCTAATGCTTCACAACAATTCATACTACCACACATTCAAGAAAAGGTGTACACAGCTAACTCTTTTGTCCCTACAATCTTTTAGCAAGGGTACATAAAATAGATTTATAGACAAAAGAACCCTCTAAGTCTCAGGACACAGACAGCCTTTTCTACGTGCTGCTGACCCTGCTGTGCCATCTCCTGCCTCATTTTCCCTCCAACCCCCTCCTTGCAGGTCAAAGCACGCAACCAGCTCCAAAGACCAGTCATAGATTAAGTGTTGAGGTGATTTATCTCTGCACTTCAGTATTAGTAGAAAGCTCATAAAACAGGACAGCTAACACTGTTAAAGATTCTACAAATTACAGACTGGGGTTGTAGAGGACAGGCCCACAGTGATTAATAACATGCTGTTGTTCAGTTCTTGGCTGATGTACAGTCTCCCACATCGTCCGGAGAGATAGCTCTTCTTTTTTTTTCACACACACGTCTGAATACTCCAACATGCATGGATACCAGGGGATAAACCCATACATCTGCAGGAGACACATCGACTATAAAACAATTGTTGAAATAAACTGTTTATTATAACTAAGCTGCCAACACAAAAAGCTTACTCTAACCTGGAACAATAACAAACAGAGACCACATCTTTAATCAAAATAGATATTGGGAGATACATTCAACTGTAATAAAGGGCAAAGTCCTGAATTAAGTTTTAACAAGTGTTTCTAACTATTTCTTTTGGTTAGTTCACAGCTGGATTCCTTTTTAGTTTAGTACTTGGGGAAAAAAACAATAAATCATACATGTGGGCATTTCTTTACTGGGATTTTTTAATGGTAAATCAATTAGTAAAGCCATGGAAACAATAATCCTAATTGACATATTTCAGAAAATACACAACCTAAAAAAATGTAACTTGTATTTATCATATCACTTTATAGATTCCTATTTGTACCAGAGTTTTGGGAGAACTCCAGATAGTAAAGTCTATTCATTGGAGAGTTAAAACTGTTTTCCTGTGGTAGAAAAAGAAAATGTATTGATAGGTCAAAATTTTGGGGTTTTGATGTTCGCATAAAATATTACCATTGCAAGTTGTCTCACTGAAAAAAACAAGTGTGCTCAGCCTTTTTATAAATAAGGAGTACAGTGAACTATTTGTTAGAAATACAATATGTACAATAGCCAGGGGCAGATCTAGAGGGGTGTCATGGGGGCCTTAATCACCCCTAGCCAATCGTTGGCCACCCATGTAGCCACCCCAACCAGGTGATTTGTTTATTCACAACAATATACTAGAATTAATAGGACTTGGAATCTGTTATTGTGTTTTGAAGTGGAAGATTCGTCTCTGCAGTCATCCAGGAGTCTTCAATGAAATTGAAGATTAAGAACAACTGTTCAACCCCTTTAATGTATGTATTATGTAAAAATCATAAACTTCTTTATATAGCACTGATGTTAAAACTTGTGTGTAGATTTTTAGCAAGGGCCTCTTGAAAATCTGATCTGTCTTTAATGATTTATGTGGAAATTATAGAAGTGCACATTCATTTTCCTGTTTGTTCAATCATGAATATAGATTAACTTTAAACTGGTTTCAGTTTTCCATCATCCCTCAGTGCATATTGATCCCTACCTAGTCACCCTAGGGACCTTTCTAGAACCACCACTGAGAAAAACTAGATTTATTGTTTTTTAGATTGCTGTAACTTGTTCTGACTAACATCTCTATCTCAGGGACTGGAAATCTATTTATCCACCTAAAATATTTCACCCCCGTCGAATCCTCTCATGGTTGTCACTGGATTTGTAAACTGAATCAACTGAATTTAACAAATGTTGCTGTATCTACTCATTTAAAAAGAAAATAGTGGAATAATTTGACCATCATTTACATGGACTTATTGATCCTTCATAAGCACTTTCTAAAAATGTGAGGTATTGATAGCAGCGGAGCTGGAAGCGCTGCAGCTGAAGGTGCATTAATATTTAGGTCTCGTTCCTGCAGGTCTAAGCTTACACACACATAAATCTGCAAGCCCACACTCCTGCTCACACAGTTTAGACTTCCTAAAATTAAGTGTTGTGTTAAAATGAGACAGAAAGACTAAAAAGGAAAACAAAAATCTGCCCCATATTTTCAAGTAGACAACCAATAAAGCCTCTACGTCTCTCTTTGCCACAAAGAAAAATAATATTAACTAATAAATTACAGAACCGCACAAGAAGAAGAGTAATAAAAGAACAACAAAAAAAAGAAAGATGAGAGAGACTAACATAGACCTAAACTCACACACTCGCTGTCATCCGCTGGAGCTGCTATTTTTCCAAAGTCAAACAGAAACCAAGGTGGAAAAGATGCTTGAGACAAGGTTACTCTAAATTTACTGCAGCAGGGAGTGAGAGGGAAACAGGAAGAGGTAAAAGAGACAGGGATAACTGATGCTTCATAGTGGCCATATTCTCTTTGGCCCCCTATATATTACAGAAAAGCCATAGAAGCTGCTGTATTCCCTCTCTGGTTCAAACACAATCATTCATACTCCTCACTTTAACACATTATTACTCAGCGAGAGAAAGCAGCACAGGACAGGATTTTATTAATAGTACTTCACTGTCCAACCCTCCCCCCCCAAAAAAAACACCTCAGTGCTTTATATGTGCTCTGGTAGGAGACATTTTGTTCTTTCTGCATATGAGGAGCTTTTATTAGACTTTTTATTTTAAAAGAAATTAACATGACGAGCAGAAAAGCATTCCTAAGGGTAGCGCTCTGTTTGCTAGTGACACAAAAATCTAAAATATTCACCGATTTAAAAGTAAAAAAAGAGAAAACAAAAGCCAACAATCCCAAATAAAGCAGCATAGAGTCATGAGGGACATCATTATCTGCAACAGCATAACAAACGGTCTTGGCTGACAACTGTTTATCGCCCATCAGCATCATGTAAACACCTGCTCAGTTCAGGCGATGCATTTGTTTTTCTGACAAAAATCTTTTGGCTCCAAAGATTGGCACAGTAAAAATGAGTCATGGTTGAACAGAGAAAAAGAGAAGCATAGATAGATAAAGCATCTTGCTCTGAAGGTGTATAAATGGTCCACTTTGACTATCACTGACTGACAGATGGAAGCGATGACTGTAACAAGTCATGTTCAGTAGCCTGGAAATCTTTGTTTTAGCATTTTCTAAACAGCTTAGCTTTGCTATCTGCCTGTGACTTCTTCTTTTAGTACAAACCCCTTTACACTATTAACTATTGTGGAGCTTTTAACCTCTTAAAACCCACCGGGTCGCTGGCAACACCAAAAGTTTAAAGCCCCACAGCTCTGGAACTGTTATAGCTAGATGTCTGAAATTTTCTGCATTCGTGGTTGACATGATGTAGAACAAATATAATATAATAAATACTGCATTTTCCTCAAGAATGTCTTTATTGCTGCTGTTCAAAAAAGACCTATCATTTCCGAGAATAAAAAAAAACGTTGTCATGTTTGAACTGATGCAGCTTGGTCTGTGTTCTAGTCACCCAATTTGAATTTATATATATTCAGAAACTAGAGGGTGTTAGCTTTCAAATAATGTACTGCACATGTACTTTGGGCTTAGATTTCCTAAGTTATTTGCTTTTCCATTTGGGTATGCAAAATAGGCGAGGATTACCCAAAATGAGGTGGATGTTAAGAGGTTAACTATAATTAATTTTTCTGTAATAAGCCCAGAATAAATTATATGAGTTTATTGAGCAGATGATTTCATGTATCCCTCAAACAGTTTGACTGGGTTTGCCATAAGAAATGCTGCACTTAGAATTTAATGATTTAGGAAGGTATAAAAAAGGAAAATTCTAAATACTAACATGTTGGTGACACTTTCTCATTGTAAAAACGTGAAAAACTGATCCATACTCTTTGTAAGCTATTGAAGATTAAGGAATCAGTAACAGGTCGCAATACATCAAGAGAACCTTCATTTCCCTTCAGCCCCATAACAAATGTGATCCAGTGTATGCAAATATTCATTGTATTTGATATATGAAAATATGGGATCCTTAAACACAAATAAAAGCATGTCTACATATAAAACATATTGCATATAGGAATACTCTCAGTTATGACAAATATGTCTATCTACTGTATTATAATGTTATGTTGCATAAACAGAAGCAAGCAGCAGTGGTGTAGTCCAGGGTATACGCGGGTATACGGCGTATAATCACTTATTTTTCCATCAGCATTACATATAACCACTTGTAAATCCCCATGATCCAAATTTCCATGAGTTGAATTTCTTTTTCCTAGGATGGTAAAGCCATCATCTGCGCTACTCTGCTTCTAATTGGCTGGTACTCCCTGTCTTTGCTGACTTCATTGGTTAACTGTAGGCATGATGACCAGTGGGCCAATCGGAGGCAGAGAAGGGCGGTTCATGCTGAGGTTGATATTGCTCACAGTTATACTGACTTATACTGAAGAAGACTTAAAGGAATAGT